AAATATGCCAAACACGCAATCAAAACTCCCAAACCTTTCATCCCGACCACTGTTAACCAGGCTCTGCGTGATGAGAAATGGAGGAATGCCATGTCACTTGAGTTCAATGCCGTCACTCGAAATGGTACATTCAATCTAGTACCTCCGTCGCCGAATCAGAATGTCATTTTAACCAAGTGGATATTCACGCTCAAATACCTGCCAAACAGATCAATTGATCGACATAAAGCGAGACTTGTCGCAAGGGGCTTCAATCAACGACACGGGGTGGACTACGCTGAGACATTCAGTCCAGTGATCAAATCCACCACCGTACGGTTGGTCCTCGAACACGCAGTCCGATCAAACTGGACCATCCGACAATTGGATGTCAATAAAGCTTTTCTGCAGGGGAAGCTGACGAATGAGGTTTATGTTACGCAACCTCCGGGATTTGTTGATCAGGACCGACCGGATCATGTGTGCAGACTACAAAAAGCATTATACGGACTCAAACAAGCGCCAAGGGCTTGGTATGAAGAGCTCAAGTCATATCTTCTCGATGCTGGTTTCTACAACTCCGCCGCAGACACTTCGCTGTTCATATACAATCGAGGTAGAGAATACGTATACATCTTGGTTTATGTTGATGATATTGTTGTCACCGGAAGCAGCAGGACGAAGGTGAACAACGTGATCGATGATTTGTCTCGCCGATTCTCAATCAAAGATCTTGGTAATCTAAGTTACTTCTTGGGCATTGAGGCTATTCGAACGCCTGCAGGTCTTCACTTGATGCAGCGGAAGTACGTTCAGGATCTCCTCACGAAAACAAAAATGCTTGACGCCAAACCAGTTTCTACACCACTACCTCCTCATCCAAAGCTTTCGCTTCACTCCGGCTATGAATTGCAAAACCCCACGGAATATCGCATGGTCATTTGCAGCTTACAATATCTGGCCTTCACCCGACCGGACATTGCATTTGCATTCAACAAGCTTTCACAATTTATGCACAAGCCCACAGAAGATCATTGGCAAGCGGCAAAACGGGTTATGCGCTATCTTGCTGGAACGCCCTCTCATGGTATTTTCCTCAAAGCTGATTCTCCCCTGACTTTACATGCCTACTCCGATGCAGACTGGGCGGGAGATACTGATGATTACGTGTCTACAAACGCATTTATCATATATCTGGGATCCACACCAATATCATGGTCATCCAAGAAACAGAAAGGGGTCACGCGGTCTTCTACAGAGGCTGAATACAGAGCAGTCGCCAACACGACTTCTGAGCTGCGCTGGATATGCTCACTGCTATCAGAACTTGGAATACAGCTTCCACACACTCCGGTAATTTATTGTGATAATGTGGGAGCGACTTATTTGAGTGCAAATCCGGTATTCCATTCAAGGATGAAACACCTTGTTTTGGATTATCATTTCGTACGTGACAATGTTCAATCGGGTGCGGTTCGGGTCTCTCATATATCAACAAAAGATCAGTTAGCTGATGCTCTGACGAAGCCATTGTCTCGAGCTAGATTCGCAGAACTATTCAGTAAGATTGGAGTCGGACATCTCCCTCCATCTTGCGGGGGCATGTAGATCATATAAGGGAAGTGTAGATTGTAATTGATTTGTACAAATGATTTACCCTAGTATCGCTCTGCTAATCTCCTCCTTATATACATTGTACTCGATTCCCTAATGTAATACATACAATAATATCAATACCTTACACAAACGTGTTAGGAACGACAGTGAATGTGAATCGTTGATCTCTGTTCGTAAAAAGCCAACCACAATTTCTGAGTCAATTTCTATCTCTAGACGAGTAATCCGGTATTTTCATGCTATGTGTAGTCTATAATAGACGCTCCATAATTCAGTCAATAGTGCCGACCAAATGTATATTTTAAGGGCAAAACCACCGTGCCAATTACCGCTTATAGCTCTGAAGACTTTTTCCATTATTACACCCTTGGGGTTATGTGACGCTTTATCAGTATTCAGTTCTACCCAACTATTATTTGGCGGTAACCACAATATTTGTCTTTCCACTCTCAAAACTGCATTATGAATACCTTTAACATTCGTCTAGACAGTTAATACTTCCGTAGCTAGATTCTTGACAAAATGTCATGCTTAATTGGTTTTCTTTGGAAGGTTCTTGTCCCTAAGATTCACAGACTTACATACCACGAAGGCAACTCTCTACCTGTCTCGGCATTTTCCAATAACTCTAAAAACATTTTAACATCTCTATTTCCATTCCCACTATACTGCTATTGCAAATAGAGTTAGTGACTATATATGACTAATTGAAAAGATGGCTTTTATATTATCTTAGATATATTACAAATATTGATATTGTAAAAAACAAAATCTTTATACAGTAAGTCTCGTTTATTCATTAAAAAGTTACTAAATTTTAATTTACGCATTGTGCAGACTTATTTATTAATTTAATTTAAATTTATATATATTTATATTACTATTATGCACATATTTCTTCTATATTATAAAGCGTTATATCTGTTTTTAAAAATATTTTATTTTATTTTTTTCTTTAAATATAGATTGTGATAAATTAATTATTAAAAATAATTCTCATATATTTATATGCTACAATATATATTATATGTGTTCTACCTATTAATTTATATTCAACTGGTTTTTGATATTTTTTTCTATAGTTTATTTTCATAGATTAACAAAATGAAATCATCATCGACTCTTCCCCATTTTAAACAAAATGGTTTCTTATTTTTTTTTATCGATTTTCAAAAACATTAACACATTTTCAAGTACAAATAGTTCTTCATTTTTTTCTCCCTTTCGCATTGCTTCTAGTCATATTATTCTGATTACAATCTACTAATATTTTTTTCTTATTTCATGCAAGTTTCCATCTCATTCAGTTCTGTGATATTTAATGCATGTTTCCGTTTAAATGAGGGAAATTATAGTTAGAGTTGGCGAGATAGAACAAGAGACATGTTCATATGTTTTGATAGGTTTTTATATAAAAAAAAATTATGATTACGTGATAAATTGTTGATTTTAATTGATTTGAAGCATTTATTTTTTTCGTGAATCAATCCTGACGTAATCATCCATCTGACGATGATGAGTTACATGACTATATTTGTGAATGTGTGTAGAGATATTTTTATCTATTTTCATATCATGTGGAGGGAAACGATCTAACTCTGTTAAAAAGTATAATCAATAGTTTTTTTAGTTTATTTATATACTTCATATTAAAACTCATATATTATTCAACTGGTGAGTAAAGTCATCGAATATCAACTTTGTGAAAAAATGGTTGATAAGTATTTGCTATTTTTTTTCTTTCTCCGTATAAATCAAGTTCATTTCTATACTATATAATTTAAACACTTAAGTTTTCTTTATTCATGAAAAACCTTCATTTATTTTATACAGTAAAGTATATATAAATGAATTTACTTTAGTTTTATGCATTAATCTTTCTGCCTTTTTTTAAAAAAAAGTTGATAACTATTCTCCGCAAGTTATTTCGTCATCTTTCGTAATCGTTCACCTTCCAACTTTTTTTTACATTCTCTTTGTTTACATTTGAAATAAAATTTTGATTTTTTTTATTTTGTAGAGAATTTCTAGTTTTATGGTTTTTTAAATAAGTATTTGTTTTCCAATGAATAATTTTACTTTAGTTTTATTCATAAATCTTTCTAAAATTTTTTAAAAAAGTTTCATAACTATTCTCTGTAAGTTTTTTTGTCATCTTTTGTATTTGTTTGCATTCTAAACTCTTTCACATATAGAAAATTTGTAACTTTTATGGTTTATAAAATAAGTATTTATTTTTTATTTTAAATTAATATTATATAGAAGTCTAAAAATGAATACCCAAAATAAAACTTATAAAGAAAAGACCAAAATATTTTAAAAGTCCATTTTATGAATAAAAATTTGCTGAGATGGACACTCTATCTAGATGGAAAGAGAATTGTCTAATTGTATATATGATTTGACTATAAATATTTTGGTCTCTTAAGACATCTCAAAGGTCAAATTATCAATTTAATGAAATAGTAACAAAATACACATGCCGTGGCAAATCAATCAAAGTACCGATGAGTCATATGACTCATCTTTGAAAAGAATAATACAAAGCAGAAACAACTTTAGAATTGGTTGTAATTTTCTCTAAAAGGTGATATTGAAATAATCAATCATTGAAAGAGAAACAATGATGGAGTTGTTATAAAATGTGGAAGACGCAATGCATATATAAACATAATGCCCGTTCGTAAAAGTGAAAAAGAAAACAGTCGAAATCGATTTTAATCAAGAAGAACCTATTTGGTGGTCTCTTTAATTTGGACGGTGGTACTTTTTCCCCTTCTTTTTCATGGAATGTGAAAAAACTATATAATGAAGTCGAATTTGCAAATTTATGCGGATTTTCGTTTTATTGGGTATAGTAGGAAATGTTTTATATCAAAAGCAGAATCAGACTAAAATTGTTTCATTAGTAAACCTTTTGTTTTTTTGAGAAATGTTAAGTTTCAACAAGATGAAATATGGTCAAATTAGGATGGATTTATACATTAAACTTGTTGACATACAAGAATGATTTGATGTCAAGGAATTGTTGTTAAATATATTGGAAGTTAGTACAAAAATTTGGAAACTTGTTTAGTGAGAGAGACCATATGAAATAGATGTAGTGGTTGACATTATTGTAGAAAGGAATCATGATATGTAAACTTAATTGCATATCAAATCCAAGGTTGTTACGATATTCTGCCTAAAACAAAAATTAAGAATGTTTAAATATGATCCCTTCTTTCGTACATCGAATCCGTATATGAAATTATGAATACGAGTAATCACAGCAAGGAATAAATTCGGATATCTTAATAAAACCAGTATCAGACAACATATTATTCCAAGACAGAGAATTTTAAGACAATAAAACTTTACTCTTATACAAATTAAGAATAGTCAAACAAACAAGAAAATCCTCAGGCTATTCTGTTTCAGACAATTCTCAAAAAGTTTGACCTTTCTTGATCATAAACACGTGTCTCATGAATCCAATGAGATGAAATATGCATTCTTAACAATATTATTATCATCTTGGAGATTAAATAAACATTGGTGAAGTTACAGAGAGAGAGAGAGAGAGAGAGGTTTAAACATTTTGTTTCTTTTACTCTAAAGTTCTAAATAACAGTTTTGTCGTTGGAGTTTCTGTTGATGGACAAAAACTTGCTGAACATCTTCTTAGGCCGGCCAGGGATTGCACAAAAAGCCTTGAACCGAGACGGTGTTCTTCCTCCTCCGTCTTGGTTCATAAACCTGTCGTCTACCTCTTCATCTTCAGCTAGCTTGCTTCTCAGTGTCCCTGAGAGCTTTGATTTAGGAGATTTAAGACCCGATACGCTCCATTGATCTTCCGGTGCGGCGACGCTTGTGGTCGTGCTGAAAGCTGCTGCGTTTGGATTAGAAGGGTCGATGTTGTGCGCAGCGAGTAATGCTTTGATGTTGCTTGGAAGTTCGGTCATTTTGCCTTCACCGTTGGTCGTAGCTGCAGCGGCTCGTGCCTGCTCGTAGAAGAGGACTTGTACAACTACTCTTAGAGGAAGCATCTCGTTCTGCGCGGCGTGCATACACGCTTCCATTGACAGTTTCTTGCAGTCCAAGACTCTGCAAACTCTCTTCCTCTCTGATTTGTTCAGGTTCTTGTGAGCCTGCAACAACACAACAATGATCAAGATTATTTATTTAGTCATCAAGAACTAATACAAGAACAAGAACTTGAGAAATTAGTATATACCTTGAGATATATGTCAATGGCTCTGTAGAGATCATCATGATCGAGTCTTGAGAATTCAGGGACACTCTCAGCTAAAGTGACAAATTTCGAGAGCGGTAGATTCACATCTCTAGCAATCTGTTGGAGATATCCATCAACAAGCTTAGCTACTTTAAGCTTTGAGCTATGAGAGGCAGAGGAAGATCTCCTACTTTCTTGGAACTCAAGATTGATATTCTCCGCCGAACGAGACCTTCTTCTTCTATCCATCATTCCCTTTTTACCTCTCAGAGGACTTGTTGGTGGACTAGTCTGCCCTTGAACCATAAACTGTTCCAAGATCGTCGCAACAATGTCCACATCGTACAACATTTCGGATTTGTATGACATTGGTGGTATTAACAAATCGCTAACCGTTGCTTCTTCTAACTGAAGAGCCACCCTTCTCGCTAACTCCATTTTCGAAGACGCTGAGGCGTTTAAGATGTTAGCTGCTTTCAAGAGCTTAAGCAAGAAACTGCAAGAAACCGCGGCTTTCTCAGCGGGAAGCAAGCTTATAATGGATTCCAACAACAGCCTATGCTTCGATGAAGTATCAGTATCCGAATCCGAGTCAGAACCAGCTTTCTTGCCGACTAGTTTCCGGTTTCTTTGCAAAGTAGGAAGCCATTTAGAGGCGTAAACTCGAAGAGCATCACCGATGAGACTCGCCGGTACTTTGCCACCGGACTTTATAGCAATCATAGTCCTCCAATAAAGATCTATCCCCAACTCCGCGATATCTTCAGCCCACCATCCTCTGCTCGTAGCAGCGGCTCGGTTAGAGGATACGTCGTCGTCTCTAACACGTCTTGAATGGCTATGCGAGAGACAGACTTTGGATGGGTGAGACAAGACCTTAGAGGCTATGGCTTCAATGCATCTACTGGTGATGGCGAGATCTTCAGACCACAAAGGAAACGCCTTTGTTGTCTGAAGCGTGACTATGGAGTCTCTCCATCCATTAAGGATGCAGGAGTTGAAGAAGACTTCAAGCTTGTACACCAAGTTACCTTTCTCAACTTCCTCTGACATCTGCAGATACTCTGCTGCACATCTCGCTGCTACTATGTTGTAGGCGCTGATTGTTATTGTTATTCCGTAGCAAAACTTTGCACAGAGCTCAAAGGCCTCAACGCCTCCTGGAAATTCTGGAAGTTGTATTGATTCTGGAGATTCAGAGCACATTCTTTGAAGCCTCAAACATTTTGAGAGCAGTGGAAACTGTGGTCAAGAAGAAGACCATTAAATAAAACTCTAATTAATTATCTTGAGGAGGAAGAAGAAAGGGTACCTTGTGAAGAAGATATTTGCTTCCTGACACATGGATTGTGTAATCACTGGAAACTTCAGAAGAAACACATCTGCAACAAGCAACAAAATTAGCTTTTTACTCAACATTTATTGCCAAAGATTTGATTTACATCTTTTTTACTATTTACCTTAAATCTTCTGAAGTGTAGAAAGTGTCAGGACGAGATCCAAGTTTCATAAACTTCATAGCAAGTTAATGATGGAAATTAGGTTCTTGAATCTTCAAAAACTCCTCTGCATAATGGCCAAACTCCAAATTCCAAAAGGGTTTCTTCTTCTAAGACTCAAAACCCTGAAGAACAGTTCCTTCCTCAAAAAAAATTGACAAAAATTTCCTGTCTACAAGTGAGACAAAACAGAGCAAAGCTTTGTCAGAGTGTTTGTTTTCTTGAGAGAGAAAAAAATAAGTTTTTGTTTTTCTATGGAGAGAATTTGTCATTGTGGTGAGTGATTTAGTTTAGATATATAGATAAGTGGAAAATATGTAAGGAAATAAAAGAGAAAAGAAAACCCAGAAAAACTGAGGCCACTACTAAAGTTCATGTCCATTCAATCAAATTCCTTATACCCAATCTGATATGGACATACAAACAAAAAGAATCAAAATCAATGCAATAAAAGAAAAAAAAGGATAAAGATAAAATTGGATATCCTATCAACACAACATTACACATCACAACCCACCCAAGTTTCCATCAATCACAAAAGATATCTAAACACCTTACTCCATGGCTCACACAACATAACAAGAATGTTCTTCATTTCCCATGCATAAACCAAACATAGGAGAAGAAGAAAAGCTCACTTTAGAATTCCAGAAAAAAGAAAGATGAATAGAGAACAACACTCTTCACATCATGAGCTTGGAGATATCTTTGTGTTTTGAGAAAGAAAATGTTTTGAGCTAAGCAAGGCAATTTTCCAGAAAACCCTCTTCACCAATCATTCAAAGGTTAAAGGGAGAAACAAAATAAAAGCAGAGCGATCTACTTTTCAACTTTTTTGTTTTTCTTGTTTTATGCAAAATTGGAGTTTTTGAATTTTTATATTCGAGGTAGGGACTATTTATGAATACAAAATAATACTATTATTATTTGTGCTGATGTTTTTTCCTGTTGATTTTTTGGGGGTAATATATGGTGCTTAGGCCATTCGCCAGCGTGCAAAGAAGAATCACCAATCCCACGTGCTTCTGCTTATTCCAACTTCTCTCTTCCTCATCATTGCCTCTACATGATTTTTTCACTCTTCTTATTTTTTATTGTTAAATTTGTTATCTATATCAAAAAAATTGCACTATTCCTTAACACATTATCTTATCATGTATTTTCACTCATAGTTATACTTTTCTCACTATATATTTGTGTTCAGAATGTGTAGTGTGATATTTTTTAGTTTTTTTTTTTTTGAAAAAGGGTTTGTGTAGTGTGATATTTACATGTTATTGTTAATATGGTGACACAAAAGTTTGATTTGCGCCAATACTTTATAGAGTGGCATCTAGATAAAGAAATATCAAATTTTTATAACTGTAACCATCCTAAATCCAAACTAATCATGAAATATAAGAAAAAAACGATTTTTCTTGTCAAATAAGACGTGTAATTGACAATTTCAACTACTAAATTACAAATTACAAGCACTTAATTAAAAAACATCGAGTTTGATTTATTGATATGTTGATTTTTCAAATTTCTATAACTATAAGTTTTAGATATATAACTCATAAAAATCAAATTCTTACTTCTTGCCAAAAAGAAAACAGTCACTGTATTTTAAGTGTTTTATGTACGAGATAAATATAACTCATGCAACAAACATGATAACTACTAATCTTTTGCATACCTAGAGGAATAGTAGATAACTAAAAAGACTTATCACTATTATTTGATACATCGCTTGTTATATATGAACAGAGAACGTTGTATAAATATACAAAGGGATATATCTCATATGTAAGTATATAACTAATTATATATAAAAACAGTGATGTGTTTATTATTAGTGTGGTTATATATAACGCATATATTTTTGAAAATGACATGACATTAAACGAGAGCGTAAATTAACATCATACTATTGTTGGATAATGAAATCAGATGGTCCACATCGGTTTACGTCCAAGTCATAGTTGGAATTAATTTGCCATTTCCGTTCTCTTCCATACATCTACTAATTTACATTTATGTTATCGTTCTTAACTCTTAAATACATTTGAATTGCTGACATATCATGTAGCTACTTTTCTATTTTATTTTTAAAGTAGAAGATAATATTAAATCATTAAAAAGAAAGATTGAATTTTAAGCAGCCATGTTGTCCATACACTTCTTCTTATCAAAGGGGTTATAAATATCAAAGTGTGACAATGAAATCGACAATATAACCTCTTTTTCATATTGTCTTTAATGAGTGTACATACTTTATGAAGAAAGACGAAAGAAAAGTATGCATATATGAATATTATGACTTTATGAGTAAAAAAAATATCCATCACCAAGGAAAGGTGAAGGATGAATAACAAATGTCTTAATTGTCTTTTTCACATCTTTAATACAGTATTCAAATATAAAGGAAATGCCGAGTTTTACCCATCTATGCTAACAATTATCAGAGAAAGTGGAAGCCTGCTAATAGCAAATCATTGAAAGTAGATTACTTTTCAAAGAAAGACAAAAATGTTAGACTTGATCATCTCTTTATCGAAATAATTACTTTTGACTAAAGTTATGCAGATTGCATTTTACCCCTTCTTTTTGAAGTTGATATAAGAAACAAATACTATATATATCCACATAATGAAAGATAGATTTATGTGAATTCTAGTCAATGCTAAAAGTTAGGGAGCCTAACATTAACTATACAGTCTAGAGAAATAGATCCTATATTTGATGTTCTGATCACTTTTAACAGTTCAAGTAAAGTTCTCTCTATGTTTCATTTCATTAAAAAAATACTATGATCTATCTGCAATATATATTAATATATCACCTCTTCGATTCCTTTGAATCTTATTACTATATAAAACGGGTGGGAAAAAAGAACTCAGCCAATCATCAAAGTTTCTATCCAAACATAATAGACATAGTCTCAATCTTAGTAGAAGTCGTAGGTTTGAAGAAAGATATATATCCCTTTACTTAGTTAAGCTTCACCATCACATAACATTTATGGAATGCTTTACGATCAACAGCATCACACTTTGGTACAAGAATACCTCAACGGTTAAGAAGTCATCAAATCGAAAAGAATCAGAAGTCATGAAATGTTTAAACATGTAAAGACTTGACCATGACATTTAGCCTAATAGTTTGTACTAAGGAGAGAGACTAAAGACTTACAATACCGTGGAGAGATGATATTGGAGAAGAAGAAGAAGAAGAAGAAGAAGAAGAAGGCTGCTCTTTGTTTTTATTACCAAATGAGGATGAAATTGAAGCGGAGTTAACAAAGAAGAAGAGTATATATATAATTGGAGTTTTTTTTTTGTCTTTTGATATGGATTCAAAGATATTGATATATATGGCTTAAGTTAAAAAACATAGAACTTATGATACAAACAACAATGTCCCATGACTTGTCAGAATCAGGACCTTTAAACTCCCAAACGAGCACCAGTGGTTGAGGGAACACAAATATAAAAGCCGTCACGGCTCCGGTCGGTATTGTCTACTAATGAGTGTGACGAGAGACTGTGTTGGATCAATCAGTGGCCACTTAAGGACGAAGGGCATAGGGGCCAGTGGCAGTTCTGTGATTAAAGAGGTTTGATGAAGGGTGTTTTGGGGATTGCATGAGAAGTTCCTATCCTGATGTCAACTCTACGTGTGAAAGAAGAAGAAGAAGAGGTTTTTGATTTTATTTGATTTAAATGGTAGTGTAACCCGAGTGGGTGTCCAGCCGACAATGGCTGCTTTAGGTGGTCCCCTTTGGTTGTGGGACCCATTTGTCCCGATTAGAGATCCTCCACGATTGGAGCTGAGCTGGATTTTGTACTCCTTGTAATAGATCTTGCGTTTTTTTATTTAATTTGTTTTGGCCAAATTTGCTGTCTTTCTTTTGTGTTGGAGAAGTGAATGGATAATAATAATAAGTTGTTTGGAAGCATTTAAAAATGAATGAATATCATAAAATTAATGGTTAGTATTTTTTATAGCTTGATTCTTATTTGAAAAAAAAATTGATATATAGTTTGAATTGTTGAATAATTGTTCTAAATCGTAAATTTGGTTTGAGAAACAAATATTTGTTTTGGAAGATAAGAGAACAATTTTTCTTTTCATTTTTTCAAACTACAGTATCACGTTTTAACGACCATGGTGTGTTATTACTACTTACTAGCCCCACTTGTTATATATAACCATAAATTTTGAAAAACATTGCAGCAGCTATACCAAAACGTAGAAATATTGTTCTTGTTTTCGTTTTCAATTTCACAAGAAGTATATCTTTTTCCTAACTCAATAAATTTGCATCATTGCTTTGACTTTTTTTAAGTCCAATTTTTTGAACGCTGTCAGCGAAATCTTTAGAACAATTCGTTTCTATTAGGAAGCAATCATATTTACAACTGCAGTGAAATGTTTTAACACATCTTCAAAAGTGTCTTTCAAGCATTCCAAAAGGATGTCTTTCGAGGAAGTTGACAGACACAGAGAGTAGAGCAACAAAAATCAAAAGACGACTAGCCTCTTATGGGACACAATACAAAACTCCATTAGAAGCAGATCCGTCTAGCCTAAGAAGAAGGTATGGATCACTTTTAATAATCCATACAAAACAAATGTTCAATGTAGAAGTCAGAAGGGACGTCGGGAAGGATATACGACCAATCGACCCGCCCTTGAATTGCTACTTTGCTACTCTTATACAAAGTGATCATTGCACACCAAATCTCTATCTTGTTTGTTTCTTGCCACATAAACAGCAACCTTCCATTGTTGTATTCAGCTATGGCCACATTACACAAGAAACGATCAAGCTCCAAACCATGAACCATCTCCATTCTTTCTCCTTAGAGTCATACCACATTAACCCAAGATTATGGTAATGCATGTAGAGCACATTCTCTACCACACACATTTTACTACTCTTGGATTCCTGATCAGCTGGTATAATCTTGTCACACTTACCATCTCTAGTATCATGATATACTTATCGTTTGGCAAATAAGGAAATTTTAGGGAATCAACTAACATTTGGCAATAAGGATATTTTAGGATTTAATCAAAATAAGGAAATTTCAGGGTTTAATTTCTATCTTAATCTGGCCGTTTCAAATTATTTATAACCTTGTTCAAAAAATTTATTAGAATATAAATGTGGTAAGATTATAGGCTCCAATTACATATAAAATCTGAAAAGAACCAGGTATGGTATACCACAACCTATTATCTGTAGAGCTATTTCTTGAGTCTGAGTGAAATATCTTCTTGGTAGTTGTGAGAAACTTGTCAGAGGTAACATAATGGCCAGAGATCACTAGATTGATTCCAAACTCCTGGTCCTTTATTCAGAGATATATCATGGGGAGGATCAGATTTCGCCATTAAGGTTTGTTTAAAGATGTTTATTTGCAAAATTTTGAATGTCTCTCTCGATCTCTCTCTCCTCTTGTCTCATTCTATATATCCAAATCGAATATGTATTTATAAAACTATGAAATGTGTATCCCTCTCTCTCTATCTAATTGGGGTTTCAATGTTTAGGTTCTAACTCGAGTAAGAAATAGAACAACCTGACATTAAAATCACATACAATTTTTTATGCACGTACCAATAAATGTATGATATTTACTCAAAATCAGGGTTCTAGATCTTGGTTTTCACTTTTTACTTTTTAATTACTACTCGTTTTCCACATGTGCCTCTCTCTATGAATTACATAACTAGATAGACATAAGAACATATCCATATTAGAGCATCTCCAAGAGACATTTCAAATTTGAAGTTTGGAAAATTTTAAATTTGAAGTTTTAAGGTGTTACTCTTCAAAGGTAAATTTCAAAAAAAACTTCAAAATATTTATATTTTGCATTATAGTCTTTAATATTAATAATAATTAATTAATATCATAAAACTTTTATAAATAACTAAAACATACATATAAAAAGATTACAAACAATATTAATCAATAAAACATTACATAATAATATAAAAATATAACATACACATATTAAATTATAAATTACAAGTAAAATATCAAATTATTCAATAAAACTATTTCTGTAGTGCTCCCATATATGATCAATCAATGTATTTCGAAGTGATAAATGAGCTTTTTTATTTTTTATCTGCAGATTATGAGCTAAAAATTGATGAAATCGGGCATTTTCATTTACTGCCATTTCAACTGTTGCCTCTGGCGCTGATCTTGCATCTCTAATTGGTGCGTTGATATCACGTTCATCCTCGATAATTATGTTATGCATTATAATGCATGCTGTCATTATATATCATGCAATACTTCTTTCTTCCAATAACGTGATGATCCTGCTATGATAGCGAACTTGGATTGTAGAACTCCAAATGCACGCTCAACATCTTTTCGACATGCTTCTTGTCTTGCTGGAAGCTTTTTTTGGGGGGGACTTTAGGAATTGCTTATAGTTTGAACAATCGTTGATCATTTTGGATAAATATCATCAGCTAAATAATAACCTATGTTATACTCTTTTCCTTGAATAATGTAATTAGCTGGAGGAGCGGTAGCTTAGGCAAGCTTTGAAAATAAATCCGATGACTTCAGAACAGTAATATCGTTGTTGCTTCCTTGCATACCAAAAAAGATATGCCATATCCATAGATCGTAATCCGCAACTGCTTCAAGAATGATTGTGGGTGATCCACTACGACCTGCAAATTGTCCTGCCCATGCGGTTGGACAATTTTTCCACTTCCAATGCATACAATCTAGACTGTCGAGCATTCTGGGAAATCAACGCTGTTGGCCGATATTGAGAAGCCTGGCAACATCTTCTGATGTTGGTGACCTGAGATACCATTCCGAAAAAACTTCTACGATTGCACGACAAAATCTCTTCATGCATTTAATTGTTGTAGACTCTCCTATTTTGATGTATTCGTCTCCTATTTTGATGTATTCGTCTCCTATTTTGATGTATTCGTCTGTGGCATCAGCATGCATACAATATGCCAAAATCCGAATAGCAGCAGTTACTTTCTGCAAGGTTGATAAGCCCATTCTACCGGACGCAGCACGTCGTTGATTGAAGTAGTTGTTATGTTGCTTAACAACATCAACAATGTGAAGAAATAACCTTCGTGACATTCGGAACCGACGATGGAACTCTCTTTCACCATACACATACTTATTAGAAAAATATTCATTGAACAAAACTCAAGAGGAAGATTACCGAAGGTAATAATTCTTCTCTGACAATTTGGTTTCATCAGATGATCAACTCCTTGATTTATTAAAAGAAAATACAATGACTACAGCCAAGAGTTATGAGATTGCTCAATTACGTATGCAAAATCAAGCAAAAAAATTAGCCCTGAAAGAAATGCAAGAGGAAACAAAATTTTATTGACAAATTTAGACACTATCTTGGATAGTAGTACCTGTGAGTTTATTCGATCTGAAAAATCAAGAATCATACAAAAAAGAACTTAAGAACAACAACCACTTTCGATTATACCAAATTTTTATGGTCAGATTTTTGATGACCTTGAAAGTTCAGGATCAAAATTACCTAAATATTAGTATTATTGTATTTTAATTTTTGTAATATTTATATGTTTATGCAATTTATTTTCCTGGATTACTTTATTTTGTATTAAATTTGTTTTATGTATAATTGTTCATGTGTAATAAAAAATATTTATAATAATGTGTAATATTTCTTCTAAATTAATTTTAATATTTTTATTTAATCTGTATATAAAATTATATATATATATAGATGTATAATTATTTTATTTTGGATTAAAGTGATAAACAACAAAACTAAAATATATATATTTATATAGTATATAATTAGAGGGACTGAAATACAAATAAAAAAGTGAAACTTCAAAAATTGAAGTTTTAGAAATTTTCTTGGAATGCAATAAATTTCATATTTGAAGTTTTAAAGTGTCTCTTGGAGATGCTCTTAGGATGACAGAAATTTCTTAAACAATAAAATAATAAAAAATAGAAAAGTGAAAAAAAAAATTAAAACACAGTTCTTAAATAAAAACCATAAGAAACGGTTTTTCAATGGTCATGTCCATTTGTCAAGTTAGAAATGGTTTAATTTTACTTTTAGAATTAAAAAATAATTAATTATTTTGATTATATTTAAATAAAATTATTTAATAGTTTAGATACTCAAAAAAATATCTAAACGATACAGATGATCTAAGTTCTTTGAAACTCTCTTAGTTTTTTCAAAAAAACTTTTGAAAAAACATTTTGAAAAAACGGTCTATGCAGCGGTTCTTGGAATTCTCTATTCTATCCAAAAATTCACATTTTCTTAATCAAAAAGTTTTTATATTATAGGAATCCAATCCACAATAATAGCATCTTATTAGTACTACTCATCCTCAATCTCAAAACTGTCCTGATTCATTTAGAGAAGAGAGAAACAAATGGATTATGTATACACAAAAATCTAACCTTCACTTGTAAACAATTGGATATGAAAAGGGGATTTTAGCAATCTTACATTTTGTTCTTACATTTTTACTACTTTTGATCCTCTTTTGTGAAGTGTTGTTAACTAACATAGTACTAATTAATGAAAGAGAAAATAAAAGCATGGTTAAAGGATTTGATCTCGACATAGCTTAACAATTTGGATATGGTTTCAAATCAAACTCGATGATGCTACTTCGAAAACAACTTCCAATTTCAAATAGCGAGATTCTTATTTCTCTCTATCGACTTTACCATTAAAAATCACATTTCTTTTTCTTTTTTACCATGGAAAGGCCTTTTTGCTACTTGAAGCCCAAAGAATAGTCATGTCCGATAATCATCCGTGCTAGGCCCAGACATTTGATCTCAACCGATTGGGTTCGGGTTTGAGCTGTAAACCGATCGACAGCCTTTCAGAATTCAGATTGTACTTCGATTTAGGGTTCGTTCCGGGTCAAAAACACCCGAACAAATCTAAAGTTTCCTAATTAAACCAAACGGTGAACTATTCAAACAAAAATTCCAAATCAACCGAAACAAACCGAATTTACCGAACCAAAATTTATGCATTGTACCGAAGTTCTTGTTAAATTGAAAACCGAACTGAAGTTCTGATGCAAAACCCAAAAATATTTGGTTCAATAGGGCAAAAATTACAAAACATGTAACTGAACCCGAACTAATTCAATTACTACATCAAATTAAAATTTTGTTTATTCGACAACATTTTTCCCAAACTGACCCAAAACTAACCGAACCGATCCGACGCCTAGAGCTTTTTATATAACTTACCTTATAAACATCCAGCCGGAAATTCTGCTTCCACAACTATGAATACCTTAATTTTCTCATATAAAGAAATGGTTGACATCAGTACTGTACTTTAAAAATAGATGCTGCAAGTGCAAGCTCTAGATTAATTAAAATCTTTGTACTTTTAATTACAGTGGAAGCCACGTGTTTGTGGAAGAGAAAGAGTGCAGAAGAGTGATTCGTTCGTAGCCTTTTTCTCAACCAAAAAGACACGACAAAAGCTGTAAGTGGGGGGACTGAGTCAAGAAGCCACAACGCGTGGAGAGAGATGAATGATAGATACTCAAACCAAAACAATAAACAGAACGTTGATACTTTCTTCTTCTTTGACTAATTTGCCCTTAACCGTAGCTCTCGAGGCTAAAAGCCATAAGATAATCATCATCATCGTCCTTCACAATACTCAATTTTTTTCTTTATAGAGCTCCGAGAAACAGACACAAACCTAGTCACAAGAAAAAAGCTCTGTTTCTTGTTCTTTCATTCTTTAATTCTTTTCTAAAAGTTTTCCCCTTTTTTGGTTTTGTATTCTTTATTTCGTTTACTCGGTAGAAATCATCGAGCTGTGTTTCTTTATTTATTATTATTATCTCTTGTGGAATCAATTTCCGAGTTCCTTCTACCTTTTCAACTCCGGCGACCGGAGATAGAGTTCTTGTTCGGTTTTCTTAAACGATAGTCGAAGAAGATGTGGTGGATGATGGGAGAAAACGGTGGTCACTACTGTTCTAAAAAGTCCGATGATTTATGCGGCAATCAGGTTTGTTCTCTTCTTGAAATTGAATTTACGATTTGTTCTTCAAATCTTGAAACAAGATCTTCTTTAGTCAGTGGTTCTTGATTTGTAAATGGATCCCTTTTGGCTTCTTGGCTTCTACTCTCGATCTAAAGTATAGATCTTTACTGGTCTGATTACGATTCTTGAATTAGATTGATCTAGCTTACAACTTGAGGTCGAAAGTCTTGGTTTTGGTTTGTCTTTAATCATCGATGATTGTTCTTATTTGCAAGTTTCTTGTGTTCGAAAACAGGAATCGGATCGGGTCTTTGGCATCTCAAGACTCTGTTGCATCTTGCGTGGTGTGGACTTAAAATCAATCTTGTTCCTCTTAGTGATCGTCCCAATGTGTGTTCTTGGTGTATACATACACGGCCTCAAGATCTCATACTTCTTGAGACCTTTATGGGAATCACCACCGAAACCATTCCACGACATCCCACATTACCACCACGAGAACGCTTCAATGGAGTCTCTCTGTAAACTCCACGGCTGGGGAATCCGTGAGTACCCTCGCCGTGTCTACGACGCCGTCCTCTTCAGCACCGAAGTCGAGCTTCTCACCATACGGTGGAAAGAGCTTTACCCTTACGTCACACAGTTCGTCCTCCTCGAGTCGAACTCGACCTTCACGGGATTACCTAAACCGCTTGTTTTCGCGGGACACAGGGACGAGTTTAAGTTCGTCGAGCCAAGATTGAGCTACGGGTCGATCGGAGGAAAGTTCAAGAAAGGAGAGAAGAATCCTTTTTACGAAGAAGCTTATCAGAGAGTGGCCTTAGATCAGCTTTTGAGACTCGCTGGTATCACCGATGATGACTTGTTGATTATGTCTGACGTCGATGAGATACCGAGCAGACACACGATCAATCTTCTCCGTTGGTGCGATGACATACCGAAGATCCTTCACTTAAGGCTCAAGAACTATCTTTACTCGTTTGAGTTTCCTATCGATGATAAGAGCTGGAGAGCTTCGGTTCATAGGTACCAGACTGGTAAAACGAAGTACGCGCATTACAGACAATCGGATGAGATCTTGGCTGATTCAGGATGGCATTGTAGCTTCTGTTTTAGACGGATAAGTGAGTTTGTGTTCAAGATGAAAGCTTATAGTCATTACGATAGAGTGAGGTTTGTGCATTACTTGAACCCTAAAAGAGTGCAGAGAGTTATATGCAGTGGGGAGGATTTGTTCGATATGATCCCGGAGGAGTATACGTTTAAAGATATCATCGGGAAGATGGGACCGATCCCGCATTCTTATTCGGCGGTTCATCTTCCGGCGTATCTTTTGGAGAATGCGGAGAAGTATAAGTTTCTTCTTCCGGGGAACTGCTTGAGAGACGAGGAATGATCGGAATGGTTCTTGTAACTAATATATGGTTATTGACACTATTACTATTACTACTACTACTACTAACTCATGATTATTAATTCTTTGGTGAATTTTTGAAAAAGAGAGTATTCATGTTGATTTTTATTGGTTACTTTTGTGTACATATACAATTTCTTTTTTTTTAGTTTTATATCTTTTTGGGGGATTTGTCTAATTACAAGTTTGTTTATTTGGCACAAGTTTGGTAGACCAGCTTATGGCATATGCTTGCAGGACTAGCAAGCTAATGGACAATACTAATCAGACCGGGCAACGCCACATGGCCACGTTATTGGAAAGATTAAGCTGATAAATAAATTAACGAGGTCTGATTAATCATTTATTTTAGATAAATCAATGGAAACAAAAAAAAAAATACCTCAGCAATAGAGGACTCCAAATTTGAACCCTAGAAATTTAGATTATGTCATAAGACTTCTCAACTTTGCGACAATAAACAAACAAAAAAAAAAAGGGAAAAACTTTGTCAGCGTAAACGTTTAACCCCTAAATGGATTCAGGTAGGTGAAACAACGCGTTTTGGAAGCACCTTGTGTAGTTGGGATAAGATAAAAAAAATTATAGCTGGAAATTAATCATGAATGTCAAACCTATTACTATTACTACTACTAACTCATGATTATTAATTCTTTGGTGAGTTATTTTTGAAAAAGAGAGTATTCATGGCTATTTTATTGGTCACTTTTATGTACATATACAATTTTTTTTTTTTTAGTGTTATATCTCTTTTGGGGATTTGTCTAATTACAAGTTTGTTATATGGCACAAATGTTAATTAGGGTTAATTAGTGTGGTATATAGTCCACGTTTGCACGACGAGCAAGCTAATGAACGATACAAATATGAATACTAACCAGACCGGCCAATGCGACATGGCCACGTTATTGGAATGAGTAAGCGGACAAATAAAGTAACGGAGTATTGATTAATCATTTCTGTAAATAAATCAATGGAAAAAAAACCTCAGCAATTATATTATGTCATAATTAAGAAGACCCTCCCAAGTTTGACACACAATTAACCCCCAAAAAAACTTCTCCGCATAAACGTTTAACCCCTTAACGAAATTAGTTAGGTGAAACAACGCGTTTTGGGAGTATTTTGTTTCTAAACAATTTCGTTTTGTCATAGTCATTGCTACTTGGTTGGTTTTGGGATTTATTAAATTTGAGCTCAGCATGTATGTCAAATCTATTGTCCAACAAAATTCTGAGAAAGCCCAGACTTCTCCCCACATAAGCTCAGCAACTATTTCATATTATCCATAGGCAGGTTTAGTCCCTTGCCACTAATAAAACCAAAAGCAAGCATCATGTAGATCTTCTGAGGAATCACTTAACGGTGCATCTTCAAGTCATTGGATACTTTCCCATTTTATTTTGTTAATTTTCCTAAATTTCCAATCCAAAATCAATTGATAATGAGTATATTAGTTTAAGTCTTATATATACTCTCTGTTTTTGTAAATATATCGTTTTAGATTATTTATTTGTTTGTTAAATTCCGACAGAAAAATCGTTTAAATACGTGTGATCGTGAGAGAAACAAACAAAACAAAGTCTTTTTTTTTCTTACTTTCCAAGAGAAATATGATTGAAAATTGAAAAAAAAATATTTTAAAAATAAAAAGGAACAGTTACAAACAGTATCTTAATATGTGTGTAATGTCTAAAACGACATACTTAAAAAAAACAGAGGGAGTACTAGTCAAAAGTCTGTCCAAATTTTTGACGTGGGACATATTGTACACTTTCTATAAATTAAAGCGTAATGAGTAATGACCCATATTAATCTCTAGTGATCCTAATAGATCTAGTAGACTAGGTAAGTGGAACCGGATTAGTAGTGGAAGTAAAGATGTACCGATTTCTCTCCACTATTAGACATTTCCCTTGAATATGATATGCAAAAAAGTTATAGTTCCAGGTCTTGTTTGTTTTGCTCTTCTTACTTGTCATTGTGTTATCGTATTGACTGTGTGGTAGTAGGAATTGAAAGATGAATTATGCATCAAGTGTTCCAAGTTTAATATCAATGGATTTAACAAAATGAATACTTAGGAAGTCTTGTTGGGGTGCAAAACCAATTATTTTGATTACACAGACGAAAAACGTATCGTTAAAGGAAGTTGTATGATGTGCCGCAAGATTAGATTCTAATCACGTACTTAAGAAGCAAACTTAACATAATTTGATGTTTTGTGGAGGATTAATTATTTGTCAAACCGGATTAACATAACACAGACTATTTGTACTGAAACTCTGTTCACACTTGCAGCTAATCCAACTCTCCCACGTCACAGACTCTCTATCCAGCTCAGCTAGTCAGCTTCCGTGGAAAGTCTTTGCACCAGCTCAGCTTCAATGGTTTTTGATTCCTCTTCTTCTTCTTCGTATAAGCTTTTAACGGTTTATCAACGGTCTGTCCATTTGTCATTTTCGCTTTGTCAAGAAAGCATAGGTCAATGGTGCTCAAGAGACGGAAGAAAGAGATCGAAGTAGTATGTATACTCCAGAATCTCCTTCTCGCTAGTAAACTTTTGTTGGACTTAATACACATTACATGCTTTAAAAAATTTCTTGAGCATGACTAAGCCAATATAGAATCCATACGTACAACAATCACATGTACACACAAAACTAAACAAAAGTATTATTTTTCGTATTGCATACACATACACGTAATAGCGGAAATTTGACAGTTGATTGTTCATTGTATGGAACCATAGACCTCATATAGATGTAACAAATGTGAAAATCATCACATAAACAAATTTGATATATTAAAAAGAAAGAAAAAAACCCGTAATAATAGAACTAGATTTAAGTTCAATGTTATTATTATGCTTCCATCAATATATATTCAGTCTATTTAGAATTCGAATTTCCCAAGTGAATGTGACTTATCAATTAAAAGACGAACGGAATCAGAATCAATATGTCTACTCAACTTTCGGTAAGGTGGTGGTAGTAAAGAGAATAAGATTCAGATAAATATCATGATAATATATAGGAGTAATTTGCACGAGCGAATCATAATAAACACTATTTTAAATCAACACTACACTACAAGACTTGTATATATATAGACACACAAGAAAGATTGCAATCACTCATCCATATCAAAGAACACTAACACAAGTATATATATAAAAAGAAAAATGCTTGATAAACTTATCGGAGGGTACGGGCACGGGTACGGCCACAAGGATCACAGAAGCAGCGGCTATGGCTTTGAGGAGCACAAACAGTTTGTGACTCATGAGGAGTCCGAAGGAGGCTACTTTGACCGTCAAGCCCACTACAACCACCAGATGAGGCTTCCGGCCCACCACGGCCGTCCACCCATGGCTCACATGCCTGTCTGTGATGAAGAAGACTCAGACTCAGACGTGGAGGAGTTCTATAAGAGCAGCCACAGCCACCACAGTACTGTGTTGCCGCACGGCAAAAACCACCACCACCACCAGCCACCTCATATGACCATGCCCCCACCTCCGATGGCTCAGATTCACCACAACGTAAGCTCTCTCTCGCGCCAAGGTGTCTTAAAAGCTATTTAAAAGTCCTGAAAATTGATTCTAAATTTTTGTTAAATAATATTATATGGATTATGATTAATATACACATCTAACTATGATAAGGAGTGTACATGTAGTGATTTGAGTTACTGTTGTTACTTTTAAAATCCACATGTTGTTGACAAGAAAAACACATCCAACAAAAATAAAATATTTTAAAATCAAACTGTCCATCCTATATATTAAACATTATTATTATTATTGTATGGTTCTTGCAAAATTGATACTTTGGTTAACAATCATATTGCAGGGGAAAATGGGCAATGGATGGCATGGACAACATGAAGATGGATACCACGGTGGGCACGGGATGCAGCAGCATGGTGGGCACGGGATGCAGCAGCACGGTGCTCATGGGATGCAGCAACATGGTGCTCATGGGATGAAGCACCACGACAGGCTTATGGCTCCTCAGGTTCCACCACATCATATGTACATGAACCCCATCCACGGCAGTGGTACCGGCCATGCTGTAGTGATGCAGGCTAAGGAGAAATGGCGTGTCAGCAACAGCAGCGGTGGCCACCACAAGGCCGGGTGGGGGAGTAAGGGACTCTGATTGCGCCCAAGATGCAAAGCCGGTTCAAATAAGAAAGTAACGAATATGTATTCCAAGTAATAATTTTATAAGATGTATGTGTGTGATGAACATGTTTCAGTATATCGTACCAAAACCAAACATGGGACTTTTAACAAAAAAGTGTTCTTGTTTGAAGAACTTAAGATTACTAATGAGTATTGTTGCTGCTGCTTATGTTAAATAAAAGTGATGTAATTAATATCAGTTGATCGTCCCACGTGGAGGGATTGATTGCTCAACAATTAGTTTTATGAAAATATAATGGTGTTACAAAAACCTTTAACGATGGCTAGAGAATTTACTCGAGATGGTCGGTTCCATATTTATCTTGCATTGGATGGTCCGTGCTGATTACCTAATAAGAAACATTCAACAGACTCGATTTGGCGTGCTTATTTTTTTAGTGTCTTTGCACTCTTGGTTTTGAACACTTGGTAACTCATTTTCACCTTTTTTCAATTACAACTTAAAAAGAAGAAAAAACGATCGTAAGTCATGTATACAAATGTGAAAATGTTTAGCAGTAAATCGTTCTTTAATTTACAAACTAAAAGCTGTTTACACAAGAATTTGGACACTTTTTTACACACAAGTTGCATTTATTGAGATGATCAAATTAGATACTTTTATACTTACAACATTAATTAACGGTAACCAGAATCCAAATAACTTCGGCAATTGCTTTCTCAGAGTGCAGTTGGGGTATCAACATACTAAAATAAATTAAAATTGTAATATATTTTGTTTTTTTCAATAACACGAAGCATGTAATAGTTACATGCGGAGTTGAATTCCGTTAGTGACATAGCGATAATGCTAACAAATTACATGTTATGCTCATTTTTCCATATGTACCATAGTCATATATGTTGATTGTAGCTGTGTTGACTGCTAATAATAATATAGGCTACTCTTTTTGAAAAGAGTAATAATTAATAAACCATACAAAATACCAGACTATTCTACTCGAGTATGACTAATTTTCGACAGAAACAAATTTAGCTATTTTCTTAGCTAAACCGAAGCTAAATGGCCAAAGAAATGGTACTGATAACGATCGCCAAATTTCTCCAACAAGATAAAATAAATGGCCACATAATTACAGTGGTCATCGCGGCCATGCAACATTTTTGAACTTTTCAGAAAATTTGCAAGTGTTTAGATGTCTTTGGCCACATAATTTTAACATTTAGCCACGGGATTTTGTGGCCATTCCAACAATCCAAAATATTTATAAACTTTTCTAAGTGATGGAATTTGTTTGGCCACAGTATTTTTCCATTCAACAATAAATATTTCGTAGACACCTGCTTACCCTAATTCTTTTTATATCTCATTCATAGCTTGTATCCTATAATCTCACCAGACGATGATGTAAAATATAACAATCATGATAAAATTATGAAATTAGTTAAAAAAAAAATACACATGCAAACAGTTGGTAGCATTGAAACGGTATAACAATATCTCAAAGAAATATATATATATATATATATATATCTCAAAGGATTGATATATTGTAGCATTGACTTTAAATCCTTCATAAGTCGGATACCCCAAAGACTGACCCAAAAGCTTCCGTGGTCCGTGTTAGGAGAGACTCTTTAAACTCTGCAAGCATTAGATGCAATTTCCATCAACATGACTCAAGAGACCATTCCACAACAGAGACAGGCCTTTAGATTCCACAATTATAGCCACATGCATTTTCCTATGTTTCTTTACTAAAGTTGCGGTCAAGCCACGCCATTTCTGATCAATTATTAAAGGCCTCTAGTACCTCGAATAACAAAGAGTAACTATCGTACTAGAGGTCTTTAATAATTGGCCCACCTCTCCAAAAAAATTTACATCTTAAGTTGTTTATATTCCTTATTGTTGAAGCTAATCACGTGTACCAATATTTTTGTTGTTGTTAAACCATAAAGTTATGCAATATTTGACATGGTGTGCGTCTATATATACAGGTCTGGCCCAGAACATAAGCGGGCTAAACAAGAGCTTATGGCTACTAATTTTTTTAGATAATTTATGAGCCACATATTTAATAAAATTTATATTTATTGGACTAGAATATTAACAAACTTATGTCTTTAAATATAAAAAATGTAAAAAAAGTTGGCCAAACCTGGAATAATAGTTGGACCGGCCCTGTATATATATATTTGATTGTCCAAGAATATTGGCCAAACCTGGAATAATCTTAGTAATATATTGTTCAAATTTTCCATATTAATGCTATTATTAAATATTAAATAGTTATGCAACGATAAACATGTGCGTCTATATAATTAATGGTGCAAAAACATTAGCCTAACCTAGATTAATCTATATATCCTTCGAAAGGGACATAAAGGCGGGGAAAAAGGTATCGGATTCAGCCTAATCGTTAGGCTTTGATCCTAAAACATGTCTTATATATGGTACCTCTGATGATTTCAAATGTATCTCAAGAAACAAACTAAGACTTTTAATAAAAGAAAGAAAAAAATGGTACTCGAGAGCTTCCTTAAACATAAAACTCATCATCATCACCACCATCATCATCATCGTCACCATCACCATGAACCGAATCAAGTTATGGAGTACGAAGACTTGAGTGACGTGATGAAGGGGTCATCACATTCACATCATTTGAGGAAGGTGAAAAGCGAAAGGAAGGCCAAAGATGAGGATATTGACAAAGAAGCAGAGAACTTCATCATTCGAAAGCACATGAATTTCAGCAAGTGGATGACCACCACCATCTAGTTTCTGATCCCTGAAACCTAGTAATTACTGTTTCTCTTCGGACTGCAATTTAAAGATTCTCTAGTATATGTTGTGAATGTATCCTAATACCACTAGAGATTCTGTATATATAGTGTATGTGATCGTGTCTTAATTATTGCATCTACTTTTATTATGGTTCTGTAACAAAAATCGGTACGTGAAACTAGATAACCACGATCATGTGGGTTTGAAAACATACCAAATCCAACATAAAAGGTATTATCATATAACCTTTCATTAGTTTTCCGAACGAAACTCGCTCCGACGACCGTTTGACACTTTGCTCCAGGTGGTATAAACCGATCGCTGCTCGAGCTTGGACCTATATCTCAATGGACCTACACGGGCCGGGTCGAAACTGAGCGGGTCCATCCATTTTTAACATCCACATACTCGTGAACTTCTTCTCAGTTGCTTCGCTTTCCCAAGCGTATTTTGATTTGGCAAAGAAAGAACACTAAGCTCCGTAAAATCCAGACAAGATTGATAACGGGCCCAGGAACTCTAATGGGCCCAATTATTTATAACCCAATAAATTTGTAAGACAGCCCATCTTTTGTAGTCAACGTCTACGTGGCACGGTTTTGTATCCACGTGAAAACAAAGTTCTACAAAAGTTGGTAATTCGTATGCCGTTGCAAACTTGCAATTAGTGACTTGATTTACGTGTAGTTGGTATCAGTGATTTGATTTAATCAAAAAAAGTATGTACTTGGTATCAATGATTTAGTTTAAGACTGTCTTCACTCTTAATCATCTCCTCCGGGAAAGAAAACGACTAGAAACAAAATGGCCGATGTTGTAGTGATCTCTGAGACCATTGTTCGACCCGATAGCTACGAAGAAGATGGATCGGATCGGGTTAAGATCCATGTCACTCAATTCGATCTCATGCTTCTTCGATCCAACTACACACAAAGAGGTTTTTTCTATCCTCAACCTGACCCGGAAACCCATATAATCTTTCGACTCAAATCCTCTTTTTCTCTGGTTTTAAAATTTTTTTACTCGTTCGCTGGTTGTCTAGTGAAGATCGAACTGCATCGTTTTTCATCGATTGCGATAGTTCAGGTGTCAAGTTTGTCCATGCTTCGTCTTGCGCCAAATACTCCGATTCAGCTCACGGATGGTAATGAATTATCAGATTCAGCTCGCACCTCTCTCTCTCACTCACTCGATTGAAGAAACAAGATCAAGAGAAAAAAAGAAAGCAATCAAACGACACAGGAGATTGTTCACCCAGAGTTCGCATTCGATGTGGAATACTACTCTCTGGGGCCAGAGTCAGTCTAGCAATTTCACTAGCACCAATCTCGCCGGAAAAGAAATACAAAGAGATTAATGAAAAATGACGACTTATCCTAAGATTCGATCTATCCTTTTATTCTAAACCAATGATTTACATTAACCAGCCTAATCAGACTAAACCAACTAACCCAAACCAAATCAGCCGGTTAAGTAATCTAACCTGATTAGTCAATGACCGGATCCTAAGAACAAAAATCAGCTAAACTAAGACTCGAACTTAGACCAATATTCAACATACTCCACCTTGGACTAAGGTTCGATCACTCAAGCTTCCTTCACCATTCAACTTCGTGCTCTCCCTGTGAAATCACCTTCTGAACTTACACCGTTTGGCAAATGCTAAGCCTCAAGCTACAGAGACTTTGAGCAAGTCTAATGCAGACTTAAACTTGCTCACTGGAACCACTTTCGTCAGAATATCCGCTGGGTTCCTGCTTGTATGAATCTTCACCACATCAATCTCTCCTTCCGCAATGATGTCTCGAATGAAGTTGTACTTCACAGCCATGTGCTTCGTTCGTTCTTGAAACATAGCATTCTTTGACAAACAGATTGCACTCTGTGAGTCACACCAAATCTTCACTGCATCTTGTTTAAACCCGAAGTCCTCCAACAAACCTTTGAGCCATATAGCTTCTTTCACTGCCTCAGTCAAAGCCATATATTCTGCTTCAGTCGTTGATAATACTACCACTTTCTGTAGGCTTGACTTCTAACTCACGACGTTTCCGCCAACTGTGAATACATAACCTGACGTAGATCTTCTATTATCCAAGTCAGCAGCATAATCAGAGTCACAAAACCCTTGAATATGCAAATCTTTGTCTTTCGTATACACCAGTTGCAAATCTATTGAACCATTGATGTATCGAAGTAACCATTTCACAGCTTCCCAATCTATGTGACCCGGGTTACTCATGAAACGGCTCACTAGACCAATACCGTAAGCCAAATCTGGTCTAGATCCCACCATAGCATACATAATGCTACCAACAGCTGAGAAATACAGAATTACTTCAGTGTCAATGCTCTCTCCTTCTTCCTTGACTGATGCCAACTTGAAATGAGCACCAATGGGGGTTTGAGAACTCTTTGCATCTTGCATCATGAAGTTCTCAACAACTTTCTTCAAATAACTTGACTGAGATAGCCGGAGAACCCCATTCTCTCTATCTCTGAAAATATCCATCCCGAGTATCCTTCTAGCAGCTCCTAAGTCTTCATCTCGAATGTTGCACTCAATTGTTCCTTGAGCTCCTTAATATCTGACATATGCTTCGAAGCAAGCAACATGTCATCTACATATAACAGCAAGTATACGTAGTTGCCACGAGATACTTCTTTGGTGTAAACACACGTGTCATGCTGACTTCTGCTGAACTTCTGAGACGTCATAAACTGATCAAACATCTTATTCCATTGTCTCAGCGACTGCTTCAGACCATACAGCAACTTCTTGAGCAAACACACCTGATCCTTTCTCTCTTTATCTTCATATCCTTCAGGCTGATACATGTACAAATCCTCTTCCAGATTCTCATGTAGAAAAGCTGTTTTGACGTCCATTTGCTCCAACTCAAAGTCCTGATTCACGACCACTGACAGAAGCGTCCTTATAGACACATGTTTGACTACAGGTGAGAAAACTTCCTGATAGTCTATTCCTTCTCTTTGGGAGAAATCTCTTGCGACAAGTCGAGCTTTAAACCTGTCTGGTTCTACTCCCACAATCCATGGTTTGATCTTGAATAACCAGCGACAACTGATGATCTTCCGGTCCTTTGGCTTATCTACGAGAATCCACGTACCGTTCTTCATCAAGGAATCTATTTCCTCATCAGTTGCTGAGTTCCACTTAATCCAATCAACACTCTCTCTTGCCTCTTGGTAGTTTTTTGGCTCTTCAGTATTCATCATTTCAATCCCTGGTTTGATCTTGAATAACCAGCGACAACTGATGATCTTCCGGTCCTTTGGCTTATCTACGAGAATCCACGTACCGTTCTTCATCAAGGAATCTATTTCCTCATCAGTTGCTGAGTTCCACTTAATCCAATCAACACTCTCTCTTGCCTCTTGGTAGTCTTTTGGCTCTTCGGTATTCATCATTTCAGCTACTAAAAGTGCAAACGCGATCTCCTCTTCTTCTGCCTCATAGCAGTGATAGTTCTTTAGCTTCAGTGGAGGACCTGCATTCCTTTGCGGTCTGTCCTTTACCTCTTGATACTTAGCCAAACTCGACTTGGATCTAGACGCTGATGAGCTGACCCTTGACGCTGATGCAGATTCTTTCTGTTCTTCATCTGAACTCTCCTATGTCCTGACATCAGATACCTCACGAGTAACTACACATTGAGTTTGACCTTCTGTTCTTTGTGAAGCAACTTCCGTGATAACTTCTGGGTAGCTCCACCTGGCTGTAGACCTTTCAGCTCCAGAAATCTCATCCACATTATCCTTAGACAAATCTCTATACACTTGCTCCTCATGGAACTTGACATGTCGACTGATCACACACTTCTCTCCTTCAAGAAGCCAAACCTTGTACCCTTTGGTACCAGTAGGGTATCCAACAAATATCCCTTTCAACGCTCTAGGTTTGAGCTTGCCCTGATCCGTATGAACATACGCTACACACCCAAACTTTTTCTCATGTGTTTGTAACCAGGAGATTTACCAATCCACACTTCCTCTGGAGACTTAAACCCTATTGATGCCGTCAGAGACCGATTAATGACATATACTGAAGTTGCAGCTGCTTCAGCCAGAAGGCTTCTTCCAGACCTGACTCATTCAACAAGCATCAGACCTTCTCCATGATTGTACGATTCATGTACTCAGCTACACCGTTTTGTTGTGGCGTGTAGGTGCAGGTCCTGTGTCTTTCGATGCCATGTTTCCTGCAAAACTCGTTGAAAACATTGTTGCAAAACTCCAAGCCATTATCAGTTCTCAAACACTTAACCTTTCTATCAACCTGGTTCTCTACAAGATTCTTCCAATCACAGAACTTAGAAAAAGTTTCATCCTTAGTTCTAAGAAACCAAATCCATACCTTCCGAGAGAAATCATCTATGATAAAGAGAAAATACTGGTTACCTGATAAGGATACCTGAACATTTGGAGAGCCCCAGAGGTCGGCATGAACGTAATCCAACACATGTTTGGTGTTGTGCTTACCCGTATCGAAACTGACCCTCTTTGACTTTCCCATAATGCAGTGCTCGCAAAATTCATCCTTACCAATTTCCTTCTTCTTCAGTATACCATTCCTGACAAGAATCTGCATGTTCTTGAACCCCATATGACCCAGCCTGCTGTGCCACAAAGACATCTGACCCACGGACCCTTCAACCTGATTCAACTCCTCTGTAACAGTTTCCCCATCAAGTATGTAAAGACCGTTCTTCAGCGTCTCCTGTAGAGCTAGCTTGTTGTTCTTGTGAAACCTGATTTTCCCATTACCACTACTGTGAATGAAACCAAGCTTGTCCAACGTGCTAGTCGATATGAGATTCCTCCGAAGGTTTAGAATGTATCTCACGTTTTGCATCAACTTGACTGTGCCTCCGTGTGTGTTTATCCTGATTGTACCCGAACCCTGAGCTTCAACAGTATGGAAATCGCCAAATAGAATCCTACTTGCAGCATTTTCTTTGAAATCCATGAACCAGTCTCTCCTTGAAGTCATGTGATGAGTACAGCCTGAATCGATGACCCAATTATTCCTTGTATCATCCACTGACACATTCAACACACTTTCATCTTCAAGCTGGTCGATTGCTACTGCAACCTCACTGTCCCTGTCACTCTCCATCCTCTTCTTCCTCGAAAAGCAGTCTTTCTTGACATGTCCCTCTTTCTTACAATACCAGCAGGTGACCTTTCTTGTCTTGGATTTTCTGCGATGCCTTCTAATGCGACCTTCACGAGAATCTGCCCTCTTGCCGTGTCTACCTTTTTCATTCGTGTACAACAATGTCGCACTATCACCAGTCAACTTGCTGCTAGCATTAAGCTCCCTTTCTTTTGATCTTGCTGCAGATATTACTTCTTCCAAATTCATCGAGTATTTACCATACTTCAACTTGTGCTTGAGTGGATCATAACTGGCATGTAAGGACAAGAACAGTATCAATTGAATCTCATCTGAGACTTCAACTTCCAGACTATTCCTCTCAGCAACAATCTTGAGGAACTCATCAACATTTACGTTGATCGATTTTGATCTATCGCACTTGAACGTGTAGAACTGGGATTGCACAAAGATCCTACTCAGGAGACTCTTTGACATGTAAAATCTCTCGAGCAAAGCCCACATTGACGCAACAGTAATGCAGTGTTTGATCTTTCTCAAAACCTGATCGCTAATATTCACCATGATCATGTCCTTCGCACGCTCATCTTTCTCTAACTTCACTGGATCAAGAATCACCTTAGATTCCGAGGTTTCAGATACCACGGAGACTCCTTCTCCTTTTTTTCTTCTCATCCGTTTTCTTAACGACTATCGTAGTGTCGAAATTATCATTGAGGACGACCTCCTTCAATCCCGCGACTCTGAAATATGTCATCATCCTTGTAGTCCACATCGAGAAATTGTCGTTGCCGTAGAGCATAGCCACCTCCTGACGTGCCGCCATTGTTACCTCTGAAGATCGCAACAACCACTGCTCTGATACCAATTCTTGCGCCAAATACTCCGATTCAGCTCACGGATGGTAACGAAGTCTCAGATTCAGCTCGCACCTCTCTCTCTCTCTCACTCACTTGATTGAAGAAACAAGATCAAAAGAAAGAAGAAAGCAATCAAACGACACAAGAGATTGTTCACCCAGAGTTCGTATCTAATGTGGAATACTACTCTCTAGGGCCAGACTCAGTCCAGCAATTTCACTAGCACCGAAGGAATCGAGTTCTCCGTCGAAGAGAATCTCGCCGGAAAAGGAATACAAAGAGATTAATGAAAAGTGACGACTTATCCTAAGATTCGATTTATCTTTTTATACTAATCCAAAGATTTACATTAACCAGCCTAATCAGACTAAACTACCTAACCAAAACCAAATCAGCTGGTTAAGTAATCTAACCTGATTAGTCAATGACCGGATCCTAAGAACAAAAGTCAGCTAAACTAAGACTCAAACTTAGACCAATATTTAACACTTGGGCATGGATGTCTCGGTGAGTGATGTTTTAGAACCAGCCGGTGGTATTGTTCCCGGTTTCTTGAGTGGGTTTTTCTAGGCGGACGGAATTAAAAGCTTTAAAGGGATCTCGGAGTCACTAATCGAGTTCCAAATGACAGAGCTGAAAGATGGAGTTTTCATCGGGTATGGTTATAACCATATAGTTGCAGACGGAACTTCGTTCTAGAGTTTCTTCAACACTTGGTCGGACATTTGCTTAACCGGGTCTGACCGGGAAAATTTTCCTCCTTTGCCTCTCCGTGGGTGGTTTCTCGGCGGGGTTGAATTTTCTATTCGAATTCCGGTCTCAGAGACGGTGCTATCACCTATTACGGCTGTTTCTTCGTTGTTAGAAGATTTACAAGACATGGTTTTTCAATTCACGAGGAGAAACATCTCCGAGCTTAAAGCGAAAGCCAACGGCGAGGTTGATTCAGATGATCGGAAAATCTCGTCGCTTCAAGCGATTTTGGCGCATTTGTGGCGATCCATAATCAGAAACAGTGATCTACATCCGGAAGAAGTGATTCACTGCGACTTACTGATGGACATGAGACGAAGGTTGAACCCTCTGCTAGAGAAAGAGTGTTTTGGAAACGTGGTCGGTTTAGCGACGACGATGACAACCGCCGGATAAATGCCTCAAAACGGGCTGGGATGGGCTGTTTTGCAATGGGGTCACAAACGAATGAAGAATACAAAGTGTTCGCTGAGAACTGGGCGAACCGAAAGTGTTTGGGAATCCTTTTGCTAAGCGGAAGTCTATAAATGTTGGAAGCTCTCCTTGGTTTAATGTGTATGGAAATGATTTTGGTTGGGGTGAACTAATCGCGGTTCGAGCTGGACCGGGAAATACCAGCGATGGTAGACTCATTGCTTATCCGGGAATTGAAGAAGGAAACATAGAGATTCAGGCGTCTTTATGGTCTCTCGTTTGGGAAAAAATGTTGTCTGATGCAGAGTTTTTAAATCATGTTTCTGTTGGATAAGTGAAATTATCGAAATGAAATGTATGTAAAAAATAATTTATTTATAATAATAATCTGAATAAATGTCACTTGCACTTTGATAAGTTGTGTCGTTTTAAAATTTGTGATTGCGTTTTTCCATTATAAGTGGTTGCATTTTTCACTTCAAATGATTGCGTTTTTTTATTATAAAAGGTTACGTATTTTCATCCTAGTTGTAATTCGTGTCTTTTCAAAATTATTTATATTGTTCAAAACAATGTAAAAAAAGTCATTTGGATCTCATTTTTACCTTTTTACTATAATTATTTATCATATAAGTATATTATCTAGATGTTTTTTTATAAATAAAAATTAAAAAATAATATAAACTTTAACGTATAATCGTTTTTCAACAATAATATTAAAGAATCACTATCAAATCAGATGCTGATCGTGGATACATCTCACAAACATTCAGATAAGTTGCATATTTTCATTATATTTTGTTTCTTAATTGTTTAGTAATAAATGTCATTTGCACTTTCATAAGCTATGTATTTTCAAGTTTATGGTTGCATCTTTTCAATATAACTAGGTATATAATTCGCGCTATGCGCGAGTCTGTATTAATATTTTGGTTTATTTTCTTTTAGCTATTATCTTTAAAATTATTAAAACTTATATATATTTATAAAAAATTTCATTTATTTAAGAGAATTTAATATATAATATGTCATTTATCCTATTTTTATTTATAAATTTTAAATAAACTATTATGTAAGATAATAACAATGACATCTATCGAATTATCCAACTTTGACGTACATATATATTTGATTTAGAGAAATATAATCTTGCTAAGATTTTGATATTATTTTCTGTTTTCCATAGAATTTATATAGTTCTTTTTTCTTGAAGGTTTATGTATTCAAATATTTAGTTTTTTATTGAAATACTTATTGATGTTGTGTACCACTGTATATATAATCCATGATTCATGTTGATTTGCATTAAATTTGTTAGGAAGCTGTAATGATCATGCAAAACCATCTTTTTTTCTTCATCATGTCTTCCAAGAGTTTTATGTATATTTTTATTCAGTTTTCATTGTTTTAATTGTTAAATCGAGTTGTTGTAGATTTTTTAAAATTGATAATTGATAAAGGTTACTTTTTTATACATGTATTGTTAATTGTTAATTTTTTATTTAACTTTTAAAATTTTAAACCATATTAACATTTTCTGATTTAATAAATATGTTGATTTAGATCAGTGAGATTGAATTTACTTTTTTTGTAGGACATAATTTGTTAAAATAACTTTTAATGGTTTAATTATACTTAATATTTTTTTGTTTGGTTTAAAAGCTGATGTGGACCAATTAAATCAAGTTTTTCCGTTCTAATCATACTTAACATTTTTTTATTTAATGAATATACTGATGTGGACCAATGAGATCGAATGTTTTTAATCCCATGTGGACGCTCTCAATGCACTATGTTATCAACTTTTATATATTATATGATGATTGTTATTATATATAACTTTAGTCTTTTTATTATTAATGGTTACATTTTTTATCATTGATAATTTGTGAATTTTCACTACTGTAATTAAAGTTCATGTCTTTTCAGTATTCATCATATATATATTTTCGTTTATAATAGTTAATTTTACGAAAAATTATATTATTTTACTATATATGTCTTTTCAATTTTATAAAAAATTCTGATCATTTGCATTTTTTATATGCATGTTTAGCAAATAAATTTCTTAGATTAAAATGAATAAAATTTATTATTATTTTCATCTCTTCATCCCAAACTTAATCGGAGAAGTTTACCGATCATATAAACAAGTTTTTCTTCTTCTGATTGTTTACATTTCTTGGGATTAATATAAGTTTCTTAATGAATTATAGGTGGATTTCCTAAAATCCCTAAGGTGACAAATTATTAGTGATTGCAACTATGGGCTTGTTGAAGAAAAAAGAATCATCTTCTGCTCGCTCCTCTACTTTGCCATGCGCTGCTGATTTGTCACAATTGCTTCAATAAGTGAGTTTCGTTTCTCCTTTGGCTATGGTGAACTAAATAAGGGATTCTTCGTTTAGCTATGGTAATTCCCTTTGTACGAATACATTTGGTTGCTGTAAATCAAGTCGATATAGTATATCAAACACAAGAAAGTATAATAATTGCTCTTCTTATTAGATTTAGAAACTTCTCAAAATTAAACCTCTCTCTTGAGTCTTATAGAACATTTCTCCATAATCTCTTATTTATAGACCTAAGCTACTCCTTAGTCTATTAGGAAATACAAATCTCTTATTCTTCTTATTTGATATTTCCTATTCTAATTCTCCTTAAGCTACTCCTTAAGGGATAACTTCTAAGAGAAGTCATTGGAATTATCTAACATTCTCCCCCTTAATTCCAACTTGACTCTTGGAACCTTCGATTGCTTCCATTCCGATTAAGCTCCTCATTTCTCTGAACTTAATCCTTGCTAACGGTTTGGTGAGAATGTCCGCCTTCTGTTCTGTTACGGGGACATGCTCAACTTCAATCTGCTCATTCTCCACACTCTCTCGAATGAAATGGTACTTGGAGAGTATGTGTTTGTTTCTTCCGTGAAAGACAGGGTTCTTGGTGAGCGCTATAACCGACTTGTTGTCTATCCTTAATATGACCTTCTTGTCATCATTTTGAATCTCCTTTAACAAATTTTTAAGCCATATCGCCTGCTTTGCTGCTTCTGTAGCCGCCATAAACTCTGCTTTGCATGAAGATAACGCCACCGTTGGCTGTTTCTGAGATGTCCAGCTAATCGGTGATGACTCATAATAAAATACATGTCCTGATGTACTTCTTCCATCATCAACATATATATTGTGGCTACTATCGTTGTATCCCACAAGTCTCTTAGTTCCATCTATTTTGAAAAACAACCCCATACTTGTTGTTCCCTTTATGTATCGTAGAATGTGCTTGAGGGCTTATCCATAAGATTCTCTCGGACTTTGCATATAGCGGCTCAATAATCCTAAGGCATATGCAAGATCAGGTCGCGTGTGTAGTAAGTATCTTAGGCACCCAATAGCTCTTCGATACTCTGTAGCATCGATCTCTGTTTCGTGTTCTGCTTTTGACAGTTTCAGGCTTGACTCCATTGGCACATGAGTCGGATTACACTTATCCATCTTGTTATCAATAAGAATCCCTTGAGCATATCCCTCTTGTTTGATCATAATTCCATCTGCTCCTTGGAATACTTCGATACCTAGATAATATGTAAGTCTCCCAAGATCTGACATGTCAAATATCCTTGACATATCGCCCTTAAACTGATCAATTACTGAACGCGAAGTACCCGTCACAAATAGATCATCCACGTATATCGCAACTATCAAAGAATCCTCCTCTGTTTGTTTGAGATATACTGATGTTTCCTTTAAACATCTCTTGAAACCCATCTCCTTCAGCGCATGGTCGAGCTTTATATTCCAGACCCTTGGTGCTTGTCGTAATCCATACAATGCCTTATGTAGCTTGTATACTCGTTTTTCTTGGCCTTTCTTTTCAAAACCTTCTGCTTGGCTCACATAAACAACCTCATTCAGATCACCGTTTAAGAAAGCGGTTTTGACGTCTAGATGGTGAATTTCCCACCCGTGCGTTGTTGCAAGAGCTATGAGCAACCGAATAGTTTTGATTCGAGCTACTGGTGCAAACACCTCATCGAAGTCTACATCATGTTGTTGTACATAGCCTTTTGCAACAAGCCTCGCCTTATACTTCTTTATTGAGCCATCCGCCTTTCTCTTAATCTTGAAGATCCATTTGAGTCCTATGGGTTTAACACCATCCGGTTTGTCAACAAGCTCCCAAGTTCTGTTTCGTATGATGGAGTCCAGCTCTGCCAGCATTGCTTCGACCCATTCTTGGAGTTCTGCAGCTTCAGAATGGTTTTCTGGTTCTCCATCTTTCGCTTTCAATATCTCCAAGCATCACGTAATCGCTAAGATACGTAGGGAGGTTAACCTTCCGACCATATCTTGTAAAGATTGGTTCGGGATCCTCTTCTTGGTTTCCTCCGTCGTCATCATCCTCCCCTTGTGCATCGTTTTGTTCTATGTGAGGATGATCATGATCTTGATCATTATTTTCTTGCATACCATCATTATTGTCTTGCATACCACCATGTCCTGCAGGCTCCATAGGTCCATAGTTTGGTAGCGTGAACATGCCAGGTTCTCCGTCAGTTTCATTCACCAACGAGGTCCAATCCCATGCTCTGTTTACTTCGAAAATAACATCCCTGCTCACCATTACCTTCTTGAATATTGGATCATAGAGTCTATAAGCTTTGGAACCAGGCTCTGTTCCAAGATTAATCACACTCTTTGATCTGTCATCTAGCTTTTTAAGGTGCGGGGTTGTTACTTTTGTATGAGCCAGACATCCGAAAACCCTTAAGTGATCAACTTTTGGTTTCTTGCTTGTGAAAGTCTCATAAGGTGTTTTGTCCTTCAACGCCTTTGAAGGAACTCTGTTAATAATGTATGTTGAGTGCCGCACAGCTTCTCCCCACAAGAAATTCGGGATTTTTATCCCTTTTAGCACGCTTCTCGTCATCTCCATTAGGGTCCGGTTTCTTCTCTCCACCACGCCGTTCTGTTGCGGTGTATATGGGGCAGTCAGATGTCTGGTGATTCCATTATCTTCACAAAATCGATTGAATTCAGCTGAAGTAAACTCTCCTCCTCTATCTGTTCGAAGAGTTTTGATCTTCAAGCTGTTCTGCTTCTCGACATGACTTTTAAAACCTTTGAATCGATCGAACGCTTCATTCTTCTTTTTCGGTAGCAACACCCACGTGAATCTTGAGTAATCGTCGATTAAAAAAAAGATATATCGGTTGTTTGCTGGTGTTGGTGGAGATACAGAACCACACAAATCTCCGTGGATCAGTTCTAACACTTCTGTTGCACGAAAACTGGTTTTACTTGGAAACGGGATCCTTGTTTGTTTACCCGTGAGGTATGCTTCGCATACTCCTGTTTCTTGTAGCTTATTTGGCATCCCATCTACCATCTCTTTTCTCACCATGTTCGTCATTACACCATTGCTTATGTGTCCCAAGCGAGTGTGCCATGTCCTTGTAATATCCTCGTCTTGGATGTGAAAACACGCAGGATGACATATTTCCATCGGTGTTTTGTAGAGACGGTTTGGTGATCGTCTTATCTGTACAAGCAATCTACTGTGTGGGTCACTCAGCTTCAACATGTCTCCCTTTATATGAACCTCGCACCCAATCTCTGTCGCTTGCCCAAGACTCATTATGTTATGCTTCAAATCGGGTATATAGTATATATCCTTAAGTGCTCGTCTTTCTCCGTTCTTCCCAACGAAAACTATCGTTCCTTTACCCATGATTTGAACATTTGAGCCATCACCAAATCTGACTTTCCCTTTGACGTTTTCATCTAAGCTTGAGAAGAAAAATCTGTTTCCCGTCATGTGGTTGCTTGCGCCGTTGTCGAGGTACCAGATGCTTGTCCTATCATCACAGATCTCATAACGTTTCAGAAACACTTTATCCTCATTTAAAAACACTATCTCGTGAATGTATAGGGCTTCTGGTTCCTCTGTTTCGTTCAGTTTTGCTTCCTGATTCTTTGGTAAATCAGGGCACGACGATACATAATGCCCCGGTTTATCACATCTATAGCAGAGAACTTTGCTCATATCTTTCTTCCGGTTGTTAGAGTTGTCTCTGTTTTCTCCTCCTGAGTTCCGGTTTGTTCGTCCTCTGCCTCTACCTCTGCCACCGCCTCTCGTTCTCCCTCGCAAGCCTCCATGCCTGCCGCGAGAGCTCTGTTCGTAGCGGTTGCTTGAGTCATTATTTGACCACATTAGTTTGTTATGTTCCTCTCCCTGCGACTCCTCCCCAACTCGTTCTTCATACGCTTTTAGTCTTCCGATTATGTCTTTGAATCCCGTTTTGTTTAGGTCCAGGACTTGTTCAAGTGAAGCAACGATTTGGATATACTTGTTTCGCGGGAGTCCCTTTAGGAACTTTTTCACAAGTTTCGGCTCTTGTATGACGTCTCCGAGTGAGGCTGCCTTTGAAGCTAACCCGAGATCTTTCCAGCAAAGTCATCAATTGAGTCCGTGCTTGTCATGCTTAGACTATCAAACTCTGACATAAGGGTTTGCAATCTCGCTTCTCTCACACGATCTGCTCCGAGATGATGAGATTTGATGGCTTTCTAAACTCCTTTCGATTTCTCTTGCTCTCCCACTTGAAGAATAAGTGATTCCAGGATCGATTGGAAGAGAAGTGCTATCGCTACATAGTTCTTCTTCGGATCAGCTAACCCTGGATCGATTGTCTCCCATACTTCATTGACTCGAAGTATGACTCTCATTCTCATCGACCAAACTGTGTAGTTTGTCGATGTGAGCATAGGGCATTGGATCGATGGAGTTCCAATTTCTGGTATACCAGCTTGTCAGGTTCCGAGGCTTCGTCCTTGAAGCTCTGATACCAATTCAAGTCGATATAGTATATCAAACACAAGAAAGTATAAGAACTGTTCTTCTTATTAGATTTAGAAACTTCTCAAAACTAAACCTCTCTCTTAAGTCTTATGGAACATCTCTCCACAATCTCTTATTTATATACCTAAGCTACTCCTTAGTCTATTAGGAAATACAAATCTCTTATTTTCCTTATTTGATATTTCCTGTTCTAATTCTCCTTAAGCTACTCCTTAAAGGATAACTTCTAAGAGAAGTCATTGGAATTATCAAATAGTAAATATCTTTTGGCCTAAAAGTTGCATCCTTTACATGATTTTCTGCAGATGGTACTCGGATAAGTTCGTGAAAGGGCAATGGGATAAAGAAGAGTGTGTTGCCAAGTGGAAAAAGTACAGAGAATCTCTCTCAGTAGCTCATTGACTCTACTTCTCTTCAGCTCTGTTCATGTTGTATGTGATCCTAATCAATTTCTCTTTTCTGAGTTTTGTTTTTTTCGGTTTTCATGTATTTCAAACAGGAGCATTTAGATGGCAAGCTCTTCACTCGCATTTTGGAGGTTGATGGTGAGCTGAATCCTACAAAGCAACCTGATTCAAAACAATACAGTTGATACCCTTGATGTTCTTCAGTAACATTAGTCTCTTTGTAACAGATTGATATATCCATTGAGCAACTTTTTTTATAGGAAACCATAGGAATCTGGAATCAATTACATAGGAAGGCAATCAACGTCGAAGGAGAATGTTGTACTGTTCTTTATTTGGCCCAAACAAGTTGAAAAATAAACCACAAACTGATTGATCATTCAGAGAAGAAAAAATAATACTCATCTCGATCATTTCTTCTTGAAAATGAAGTGTGCAACCATCCACTCTTCTCCATTGTTATATCCAAAAAGCTCAGCAACAGCGATGAAGAAGGTTCTCCAGTAGACCATCCACTTCACTGCTTCCTCTTTCCCATAAGTAATTTCCATTATCTCCTTTACTGCAACTATCTCCTTATCCATTTGTTTGAGCCACTCTTCACTGCAAAAAAAGTTGTATTATTATGAAGTAACAAACATCACAAGATGATATCATTTTCTTGTTGCTTGTTATCATCAAAAGAGTTTTTACCTGGTATTTGCATAATGCTTCCCGTTTTGGAGCCAATGATCCACAATCGAAACATTTTCCTGAAGATATAAATGATAATATATGTTTGAATTGATGATAATCTGGTGCAACAAACATTCTTTTAAGTTATAATATAAAATACTTGGAAATAGAGGAGGAGATTCGCAGATGGCATTATTCCTCCGCTGAAGAAGTGTCTTGTGATCCAGTCATCGTCATTCACATCCTATAGTTAATCAACATAGTCCTCAAGATTGCATTAATTTCAAGAGAAAATGGTGAAATTGATTGATTAATGAAATTTGGGATTGATGTGTATACCTCAAAGTGGTAAGCAAATGTTTTATGGCAGAAATAGTGAACAAACAGAAGACTATCTTCTTTCATCCAACTTCCTATTTTCTTCAGAAGCTTTCCATAGTTTTTCATATGCTATAAAATCCAAATAGTGAAACCAAAGCTTAGAAAAACTCTTTTATCTTTGACAAAATGCATCTCAGTCAAACATAGAGGCCCTGTTCGTTTCTTGATCTAGATATTGTATCTAGATTCAGCATCTAGATACAATTTTCAGATGCAATATTTATATATTGTTTATTTTTAAAACTAGGTTTTGCATTTGGATACAGTTTTTGAATGCAACACTGTTTGTTTGTGTATTGACAAAAAAAAATCTGAATGCAAAATATTTGAAATGACCAAAAAGGATATATTTTTTAATTTACTAATTTTAGAGGAAATCCTCCTAATGATCCAAAATAATAAAATTATGTGAAATGGGTACCGCATTGAGGGAAAAAATATAAAAATAATCCATTTTTACGATTTTTATAAATATCAACGCTACCCTTCTAACTACTGTTATTTGTAGATTAATGGCAGACTAACGACAAACTGAATATAGACTACTCACAGACTGATTGGTCAAATAATTGAATGTAGACTACTGGCAGACTAATGGTAGACTAATTGCAAATTACTGACAAACTAATTGCAGATTGAAAGCAAACTAGTGGACCTCTCTTATAGAATGGTCGTGATTCTAAATAAAATTGTCAAATGGATTATTTCAAAAATTATCCTTTAATTTTATCTACAATTAAAAGAATTTATTTATGATAATACAAATTAATAGTTTTTGTAAAAATAAAGTTTGATGAAAAATAGTTTTGATGAAAAATACAATTTTGGCGGGATAATTCATTTTTGCAATGTTAACAAAAAAAAATTTTACGGTCTCGACGGAAAAACTTAATTTTCCGGTCTTGATGGAAAAACACGATTTTGGCAGAAACCCTCAATTTTGCGGTTTTAACGGAAAAACTCAAATTTGCTATTTGACGGGATAACCCGGTTTTCTTGTTTTGGTGAAAAACTTGATTTTTCAAATTTGGCGAAAAACTCTTGTTTTACGGTTTTGACGGGAAAACTCGATGGTTTTGGGCAAAAAAAATTAATTTCGCTATTTTGGCGAAAAAACTCTATTGTACGGTTTTGGCGAAAGAACTAGATTTTCCGGTTTTGGTAGAAAAACACGATTTTATGGTTTTTGCGGAAAAACTCAAATTTCTTGTTTTGGCTGTAAAAAAAAATTTTCGGTTTTGGCAGGAAAATTCGACTTTTTGGTTTCGACGGAAAAACTCGATCTTCCGGTTTTAAGAGAAAATTTCATTTTGCAGTTTTGGCCAGAAAACACAATTTTTGGTTTTGATGGGAAAATCCAATTTTACAGTTTTTTTTGAAATATCAATTTTTTTTTGTTTTTGCGGGGAAACTCAAATTTACGGAATTTTGTGGAGAAAAACACGATTTTTCTGTTTTGGCGAAAAAAAATATTTTGTGATTTTGGTGGAAAAACACATTTTTGCGTTTTACGATTAAAAATACAATTTTACGGTTTTAATGGAAAAATATAAATTTTGTGTTTTACAGTTACAAAAATACACTTTTACGGTTTTGGCGCAAAAATGCGATTTTGCGGTTTTTATGGAATATTGAATTTATGATTTTTATAAAAGTTATGATTATATTTTTGTCCTTTTTATTTAACAATTTTGGCAAAAAAATAATAAGTATTAGTTTAGTTGCATTCCTTCTATCATATTAAAAGATATTTTGGTCTTTTGATTTTTAAGATGCAAATGTTGTTTTAAATACCCAAATTTTTGAAATATTTTTAATTTTGTATCTAGATGCTGGTTTAAAAGTGTTCAAGCCAACAATATTTGAGTATTTGTATCTAAATAAAGCATTTAGATACAAAAACGAACAAGGCTACAATAAAATTCTTTATTTTTACCTCAAACATTCCGATGGAGAATACTCGATCGTATGTCCCTTCATCCTCAAAAGTGCTAATATCTCCAACAATTATTTTGATATTTTTAATCCCGAGTTTCCTTTAAAATATGATAAGTTAAAAAATACAATGAATGATTCGACTCTACTTATTATGTAATGAAACTTGAAGCTTAGGATGTAATGAGGAAATGAATTACCGGCATTGCTCATCAATGAAAGCTTTCTGTGTTTTCGAGTTGCAGAGACCGGTTAACTTGCAATTGCTAAACTTGCGGGCAATGTACAAAGACAAAGACCCCCAGCCACATCCGACATCAAGAACAATGTGTCCATCTTCCACTTTAGCTCTTTCACAGTATAGAGCCAACATTGCTTCCTCTGCATCTTCCAAGTTACTGGAATCGTTTGAGAAATAACAGGAGCTGTATTTCATGTTTCTTCCAAGAACAAGTTCGAAGAAAGCCGTTGGTAACTCATAGTGTTGAGTCTTTGGCATCTCGGTATTGATAGCTATAGGCATCTCCTTTATAGCTGAAACATATATATATTATTCATACGAGATTAATTATAAACAATTTTCTGACAAAAAAATGAAAATGTTATATTTCTTCAAATGTACACATTCTTATTAGAAAATCTTGTATACAACAAGGTGCAAAATTCTATCTTGAAAAAAACTATCAATTAACAAAATCAAACTGGCGACAAGTACAAATTCTAATTAAAAAGATTTAATAAAAAGACGAAATGCTTGTGTTCCCTTTACATTTCTTTTTGATAACTAAAGGAAAACTCAACACATGAAACAAAATTAATTACTAAACAAACTGCATAGTAACGTGGTCCACTAAAATCGTCTTATCACAAGACGAAGCTAAACCCCAAAAGCTAAATGACAAAATCATCATTGTATTCTTTTGTTACACTATAGACGTCGGTATCATAATCACTCAATCAACAAAAGGGATCATAATTAAGAATTACATTTAAAAGAAAAACGAAAACATTAGATGCAATTAGTTATGTCACTTACAGTTGACAAAACGGAGGATATCGGACAGTTGCAGCTCCGCCGTGGGTTTGTAACCGGACCGGAGTCTACTGGCGAGAAGCAGTCGCGTCAGCCGCCTTATGACAACATCCGGCAACAGATTCTTCTCCAGCAACGTCAAAGCTGTCTTCACCGATGCGGCATAAGCTACCTCAACAATCTTCTCCATCTCTCTCTCTCTCTCTCTCTCTCTCTCTCTCTCTCTCTCTCTCTCTCTCTCTCTCTCTCTCTCTTTCTTTCTTCGTCTGTTAGACTTTAGTTTATTTCGTTAGAACATCTCCATTGCTAAAGAGACTCATGTAATATCTATCTATAATAACAATCTGAATAATACCACTTGCATTTTTAAAAGTTGCGTTGTTTCAAAATTTATGGTTGCTTATTTTCATTATAAGTGCATTACGAAAAATCATATGTGTTGTAACATTAATTTTATTTATTACTATCATTTTTTATTGATGCAAATTCAGTTGTAACCACGTGGTTGCATCTTTTCACTATAAATGATTGCATTTTTTATTATAAAACTAGGTTATTAATTCGCGTTACGCGCAAGTCTTTATTAATAATTTGGTTTAATTCTTTTTTTTAGTTACTACTTTAAAACTATCAAAACTATAATAATATATAGAAATTTTCATTTATATAAGAGAATTTAAAATACAATATGAAGTTTTCTCCTATTTTTTATTCATAAAAATTTAAATTTGATTAAGTAAAATAATAACAATGACACCTATCAAATTATTCAACCTAGACGTGCATATTCGTTTAATTTAGAGAAATGTTTTCTTGCTAAAATCTTAGTGATTTGTTTTGTTTACCATAGGATTTCTATATATTTTCTTTCTTTTAAAGGTTTATATATTAAAATATTTAATTTTTGATTAAATATCTCATTGTTGTTGCATATATATAAAATTCATGATTCAAAGTTATTCGCATTTAGTTTTGTTAGGAAATTGCAATGATCGTAGAAAGCGGTTTCTTGCTTCTCCACCAGGTATTTCACGTGGTTTAGCTTATATCTTCATACAGTTCACATTGAGATTTTTTTTTTTGCAGACTAATATTTTATAATTTTGAATTTTAAACTTTTATGATCGGTGGCGTGAAGTTTTCACATTATTTTTCACTGTTTTTATCTTTTGTGTGCTTTATGCATATTTTGATTTGAATAAATTATCTAGATATATCAATTTGAATTTGATTCATAACTCAGTCATACTTAATTATTTAAATAGAATTTTAAAAAAGTGTTATGCATGTGTTATTAATGTCGGTTCATATAGTAGCTATGTATAAAAATCAGGTTTTAATGCTTGTTAAATTTCTAGTGTAAAGTTATTAATGTAGTATTTTTTTTTTTTGTTAGTTTTAAATTAGACTCACCCAGTGTATTAATCTTTGTATATTTATAGATTATGTTTAATTTAGAAACTTATATAAACCTATTGCAACTTTAGATAGTTATTAATTGTCGATAATTTTCATCTTTTGATAGTAAATTTCTATTTTATCTTAATTTATAGAAATTTTTTTTGGGATTCTTGCAAAAATGACCTAAAATTTGATTTGAATTGCAAATCTAACCCACAAAAATCACTTTCCCAACATTTGCCATTTTGTGTCCAAACAATCCTTCATAGTTTCAGTTATTCACGAAATTGCCATTATTTTTAATTAATTTCTTTTATTTTTGGAAATCTAAATGACCAACTAATCCTCATCTTCCTCACTTATTTACGAAAATACTCCGAAAGTAGACTTCTCTCGGTCCGAATGAAGTCTACTAGTCAACGCCCAGGTTAGTTTTGCAATTGACCGCATGAAAAAGTAGACTTCTTTTGGTCTGAATGAAGTCTACTCAATTTCCTTTGATAACAAAAAAAATAGAGTAGACTTCTCGAGTAGACTTCTTTAGAAGCAGATCATTTTTTGCAATTGACCAACCTTTGACTTTGTAGAGTAGACTTCTCTATGCAAAGTAGACTTCTCCGAGAAGTCTACTTACGAAAGTAGACTTCTCGGAGAAGTCTACTTTTCATAGAGAAGTCTACTAATATTTTGGCAATTGCAAAACTAACCTGCGAGAAGTCTACTTTTATCCAAGAAGTTTACTTTTCTTGTTTTTAAAAAAAAATCATTTTTATACAATATATAACGAATTTTTAAGATTTTCGTGATCCTAAGCTTCTGTTATTAAGTTTTCTTGCTTATGTATAAGTTTTGCATGTTTATATTTTATAGATATAGTCGAATGAGTTTTCATGTTTTATATGATACTTAGCTTATTAAGAGTAGACTTCTTAGTCTACTGTAGAATTCTACTATGTAGACTTCATCCGACTTTCAGAGAAGTCTACTTATGCAATTTTGATGTCTAATGTGGTTTGGATTTTGTTCTTTTTTCACAGAGAATGGCTCACATACCCGCTGTTTATGGAGAATGGGTTAAGAGTGAATCAGTGTGGCAGTTCGAGGTGGATAATAGCAAAGGAGGGTGAATGTTGTTCTTAAGAGATGGTTGCACACATGGTGAGCTTCTTGGTGAATGTTGGCAAAGGAGGGTGAATAGCAAAGGAGGGCGAATGTTGTCACCTTTAAGTTGTGTAAAATTAATGTTTTTAAGAAGTCTACTCGAGACAATGAGAAGTCTACTTCAGAAGTCTACTCGAGACAAGAGAAGTCTACTCGGTTGACAAGTTATATGATATAAATGAGAGAAATGTCCCTCTGAATCACTTTTAAGTTATGTAGAATTAATGTCTTTTAGAAGTCTACTCGAGACAGGAGAAGTCTACTCGAGACAAGAGAAGTCTACTCGGTTGACAAGTTATATGATATAAATAAGAGAAATGTCCCTCTAAATCACTTTTAAGTTATGTAAAATTAATGTCTTTTAGAAGTCTACTCGAGACAGGAGAAGTCTACTCGAGACAAGAGAAGTCTACTCGGTTGACAAGTTATATGATATAAATGGGAGAAATGTCCCTCTGAATCACTTAAATTAATGTCTTTAAGAAGTCTACTCGAGACAGGAGAAGTCTATTTTGTAAAATAGATAAACATAGATAATTTAGGAATTTGATACAAAACATTCAATGCAATTCAACATTACATAGAAAATAACCCTCTAAACAAACAAACATTTAAGGATCACTAATTATAAATCTTAAAATTGGCATAAGAAATGACTAGTAAACTAAAATCTCTGAAAACTATGTATGCAACTGAAGTCTGCTTGAGAAGTCTGCTCGAGATCGAGATCAAACTATGTTTACATTCAGATCTGCAAAAAAATCAACAAAATTCAGCTCTGCAACAATAACAAAAAAATTAGATCTAGAACAAAATCTATAAAATTTATACAACAATAAACTCAGATCTACAAATATAAACTTAGATCTACAACAATAAGCTCAAATCTAAACTAATAAGCTCGGATCTATAATAATAATCTACTATATTTATAACATTCAGATATGCTCAAAAATCAACAAAATTCAGCTCTGCAATAATAACAAAAATTAACAAAATCTACAAAATTTACACAACAATAAACTCATATCTACAAAAATAAACTTAGATCTACAACAATAAGCCCAAATCTATATAATAATCTCAGATTTGCAATATGAACACAAAGCAAATAAAAAGAGGAACACAAAAGCTCAGATTTGCTTACCACTACCATAACCTGCAAGTGAGAGGAGGTTGAATGCAAGATAGAGAGGATGGAAAGGATATTGATAGCAAGAGAGGAAGGAGAAGAAATTCATGGCCAGAGAGAAGGGAGAAGAGAGAGAGAGGCGTTTTTTAGATAGAGAGAGACTTTGTTGTTAATACAATTAGGTTAAACTCTCCTTATATATGTAGGAAAAAATTCGTGTAAGTAGACTTCTCCAAGAAGTCTACTCGAGAAGTCTACTCGAGAAACCGAGAAGTCTACTCGAGAAGTCTCTTAGTATTTATTTTTATCCTAATTTATCTATGATGATTTAAATTGATTATTTCTGTCAAATTTTATTTTTAATAGGTGTAAAAAATATATATTTGTTGTTATGTATCTAATTTTTTTTATTAAATTATCTTTTATGATTTTTAAAATTAATTATAAACATATTATTAAAGAGTAGACTTCTTGGAGAAGTCTACTCGAGAAGTCTACTTAACTTCTCGAGTAGACTTCTCTGGGATAAAATAGTAATTGAGGTTGACGTTTTTTTGTTTGGTCATAAGGGTTAAAGTTGTAATTTCACTACTCCTAATTTCACTACTCCTGTGAGTTATTTTTGTCAAACATGCAATAGGGGGTCTAGTTTTGCATTTCAACTCAAGTTTTGAGTCATATTCAGCAATTCCCCCATTTTTTTTTGTATGTTTGATATACTTAGCACTTATATTTTGTTATGATTAAGCTTTTTTGTTGTTGATTCTAAGATAGATAGCATATATATCTAGTTAATTTCTTTTACTCTAATGCTTTTTCTTTTTTATATATGCTATTTTAATACTAATTTTTATTTTAGTTATAATGCCGATTTGACATATTATACTTGTTCATTTTAAATTTTATATCGACTTCTCTCAAAATATTACTGCATCACTTCTTCTTTTCCGTTAAATTTTCTTATGTTGATTTTCAAAGATTTTAGCCTAAATATCACGTTTGTTTTTTTATCTGACTTTTTTCCTTTGTTAATTCACTTTTTTTTTATATTGATTCCTATTTTAGTTGTAAACATATGTGTTTTATAAATATTGACATTTTACAGCCATATTTTTTTTCTTTTTGTTCAGTTAATGAGACTTTTTATATTGATTTCTTAAATAGTTAGCATAGATATCAAGTCAATTTCTTTTTAGATAATTGTTTTTAAAAATATTTAACTTTTCTGATATTAATTTTGATTTAAATTGTATTAACATTTTATGAAACATAATTTACCTTTTCTTTGTTTTGTTAATTTTTATATTGATTTCATAAATAGTTAGTTTACAGATTTAATTTTTATATTGATTTTTTCAGTTTATGTGTTAAATTTTTTAAAACAAATTAGTCATTGAAAGTATATATTTTAAAAAGATCCTTGTGTTAATTTAACTTTTTGTTATTGATTTACATATTTCTTTTTTTGTTAGTTTAGCTTTTGTGACACCGAGTTTTAATTTTATTTTGACAAACGCTATAAATTTAGATTCCAGTCTTAAATTTTTTATCTGTTTTGTTAGTTAAACATTTTTTATCTTAATTTTTTATTGTACTATGATAATTTTCTATTTAGTTATGTTTTAATTTATTTAACATTTTTTGTGTTTAATGAAAAATGCTAATGTAGACAAATCATATTGAATTTTTTTTGTCATATGTGGATGCTCTCAATGGCCTAAAATTTTGTGTTTTAATGATTAATTAAATTGAGTTTTTTTCATCCCAATTTTAACCTTAATATATTTGCTAAATTTATATAAATTACTAATTTAAAATATATATATGTTAATTTTTTTTCTTTTTATCCTATTTGGGTGCTCTCAATGGCCTAAGGTTTCAATTTTTATATAATATATAGATTTTCTATTCTAATATGATAATTCTTAGTTTTATGTATTTTAATTTATTTAAACTGTTAATCATATTTAATTTTTTGTGTTTTAATGATCAATCAAATTTAGTTTTTTTCATTCAATTTTAACCTTAATATTTTTGCTAAATTTATATAAATTAATAATTAAAAATATATATACGTTAAATTTTTTCTTTTGTTAAATTACTAATTTAAAATATATATGTTAATTGTTTTTGTTAATTTAACTTTTTCGTTATTGATTTACATATTTTTTTTATTTTATGTTAATTTAGCTTTTGTGACATTTACTTTCCATTTTATTTTTACAAACACTATAGATTTAGATTTTTTACATAAATTTATTTTATCTGTTTTGTTAGTTAAACTGTTTTATCTTAATTTTCCATTTCAATATGACAATTTTCGTTTTCTGTATATTTAAATTTAGTTAAACTCTTAATAAAAAAAATTATGTTTTAATGAATTATGCTAATGTGGACCAATTAAATCAAGTTTCTTCATCCTATGTGGACGTCCTCAATGCACTATGCCATCAACTTTTATATATTATAGATGTTGCATTTTTTTATCCCAACAGTAACTCATGTCTTTTCAAAATTATTTATATCCCAACTATAATTGTCTATCATAAAAATATATTATTTAGATGGTTTGCTATAAATAAAAAATAAAAAATAATTGAAAATCTAACATATAATAGTTATCCGACAATGTTTAATTAAGATCACTATCAAATATGATGCTAATTATGGGGGCATCTCACAATCCTCGGATAAATTGCGTATTTGTGTTATGCTTTCCTTTATAATTACTAATTTTTATAAAAATTTATATTTTAAAATTAAATAAATATCAAATATGATTGTGTCCTTTCATTTTTATCATTGTAATTAAACTTCATGTATTTTCAATATTTATTTTATATATATTTTTGTTTATGACTGCTTATTTTACAAAAAGTTGCATTTTTTACTATTTATATCTTTTCACCTTCATAAAAATTTGTGATCATTTTTATATGCATGTTTAACAAATAAATTTCTTAGACTAAAATAAATGAAATTTATTATTACTTCATCGTGTCTTCATCAGTGGCGGATCTAGAACAGAATTGAACCGGGGGCACATTACATTACAAAAAAATATTTAACTAATAGTCTTTGAATGAATTTATGTTAATTACATAGAGATAAACAAAAATTAGCTGGGGGCATGTGACCCCGTCTGTTACTACCTGCGTCCGCCCCTAGTCTTCATCCCAAACTTAATCTGAAAAGTTTATAGATCATATAAACAAGTTCTTTTTTCTCCATTTGAAGACTTGTTCAAAATAATTACATATTTTTATCATTACTTTTATTTTATGCATTTTACTTATAATTATTTTAAACGGATTTTGGTTTAATTTTTGATACAAAACAAATTAACCCTGCGAAGTAGGATTATATTCCTAGTGATAAATAAATAAATAGTAATAATAACATAATTTTTTGGTGGCAAACCCTAAATATTAATACCTTTTTATTTGTTAAAGGCTTTCATTAAACTAAAAAATTAAAAAAAGGAGAGTAGCAAAAGGCAGGACAACATTAAAAAAAAAAAAATTAATAGAAACAATAATAAGAGAAGATGGATTAACAAGATACCAGTGAAAATAAAACAAAAAAACCCGATGAAGGAGGAGAAGAACCGAAGGAAACAGTAAAGAGACCAACAGAGAGAGAGGCTCACCATGAATAGAGCCAAGATTCTTACATTTCGAGTAAGAGCACTCAAAGAAAAGGTGGTGACGGGATTCATTGACGGATCCGCATAGAAGGCATACCTTCTCAATATCAAGTCCCCAATTTGAAACGTTGTCTAGGGTAGGATTTCGATTCAATATAAACAGCCAGACCGCTACTGAGTGCTTTGGGATTGCTGCTTTGTGCCAGACAAGAGAGGACCAGGAAACCAGAGGCTTAACAGTCGTAAGACTCTTTTTTTAATTTCAGCCTTTTGATCGCCGATCCCGATCACCTTTCTTCTGGCTGGAAAAAGAATAAGATGATTGTATAACAACAATTCCGTCTTTGAGATGAAAACTACGTTCCTAACCTTGCTTTCCAAGGTTTGGATATTATAAATTAAAAAGAGTCTGAGTAGAAAAAAAATATATATAACTCCTTTAGAGCATTTCCAAGAGACTTTTTATAACTTCAAATATACAATTTGTTGCAATTTCAAATTTGAAATTTCACCTTTTTATCTGCATTTCAGCCCTTTTAATTATATATTATATGAATGTTTATATTTTAGTTTTTGTTGTTTATCACTTTAGTCCATATAATTTTAGTATTTCATATATATATGTATATATATATATAATTTTTGTATACAAATTAAATAAAAATCTTAAAATAAATTCAGAAGAAATATTACACATTATTATTAATATTTTTATTACACAACAACAATTATATATAAAGCAAATTTAATACAAAATATAAGAAAATAAATTACATAAACACATAAATATTACATAAATTGAAATACTACAATAATACTAATATTCAGGTAACTTTGAAATGTATTGATTAACCTTCTCTAGATTTATGGTTTTTATTTTTATTTTTATTTTTTTTGAAAAAGAGTTTTTTTTTTTTTTTTTTTTTTTTTGCTGTATTGTTGGCTTCAATGATGCCTTCGAATCAGATAAAATAAATTGTACAAATTTACCCATTAAGTCACGATTCTTTGTTGCTTTAACTCTTTCTAATTAGCTAGATATGCCTTATGTGTTTTGGTGAATTCTTGGTGGTTAGAGTGGTATATTTTGTAGAGTTCTGGTTGAGCTATAGATTTGGTTTGATGACCGAACGTTTGATTTTTTGGAATCCACGCGTTTGAACAGGCCGAGAAATTCTTAACGGGTCCATTTATTTAAAACCCAATAATTATCCAAGACAGCCCATGATTTGTAGTCAACGTTTGCGTGGCACGGTTTTGTATAATAGTATCCACGTGGAACACATTTTATAGTAGTTGGGTACGTCGTTGACATTAATGATTTGATTTAAGACTAATCAACGAAAAGTATAGCTGGATCATTGCCATTAATGGTTTGATTTAAGATTAATCAAAAAGTAAAACGACAAGGAAGAAATGGCTGATGTTGTAGTGATCTCTGAGACCATTGTTCGACCCGAGAGCTACCAAGAAGATGGATCGGATCGGGTTAAGATCCATCTCACTCCATGGGATCTCTTGCTTCTCTCATCCGACTACACACAAAGAGGTCTTCTCTATCCTCAACCCGACCCGGAAACCCATATGATCTCTCCACTCAAATCCTCTCTTTCCGTCGCTTTGAAGATTTTTTACCCGTTCGCTGGTCGTCTAGCGAAGGTCGAGAACGGAGACGAGACGGCGTCGTATTTCATCGATTGCAATGGTTCAGGTGTCAAGTTCGTCCATGCTTCGGCCATGGATGTCTCGGTGAGTGATATTTTGGAACCGGCCAGTGGCATTGTCCCCGGTTTCTTGAGTCGGTTTTTCCCGGCGAACGGATTTAAAAGCTTTGTAGGGATCTCGGAGTCACTGATCGAGTTTCAAGTAACGGAGTTAAAAGATGGAGTTTTCATCGGGTATGGTTGTAACCATATAGTTGCAGACGGATCTTCGTTCTGGAGTTTCTTCAACACTTGGTCGGCGATTTGCTCTACCGGATCTGACCGGGAAAATTTCCCTCCTTTACCTCTCCGTGGGTGGTTTCTCGGCGGGATTGATTACCCGATTCGAATTCCGGTCTCAGAGACTGTGTTCTCACCGATTACGGCTGTTTCTTCGTCTTTATCGAATTTACAAGACAAGGTTTTTCGATTCACGAGGAGAAACATCTCCGAGCTTAAAGCGAAAGCCAACGGCGAGGTTGATTCAGATGATCGGAAAATCTCGTCGTTTCAAGCGATAGTGGCGCATATGTGGCGATCGATAATCAGAAACAGTGATCTGAATCCGGAAGAAGCGGTCTGTAGCGAGTTACTGATGGATTTCAGGCAAAGGTTGAACCCGCCGCTCGAGAAAGAGTGTTTTGGAAACGTGGCCGGATTCGCAACGGCGGCGACAACCGCCGGAGAAATGCTTAACAATGGGCTGGGTTGGGCTGCTTTGCAAATAAACAAAAGTGTGGGGTCACAAACGGATGAAAAATTCAGAGCGTTCGCTGAGAATTGGGTAAGGAAACCGAAACTGTACGGAAATCGTTTTGGTAAGCGTAGAAATTCTATAGTTGTTAGTAGCTCTCCTTGGTTTAATGTGTATGGAAATGATTTCGGTTGGGGTAAACCGATAACGGTTCGAGCTGGACCGGGAAATATCAGAGATGGTAGACTCATTGCTTACCAGGGAACTGAAGAAGGAAGCGTCGAGATTCAGGCGTCTTTATCATCTCACGTTTTGGAAAAATTGTTGACTGATGCAGAGTTTTTAAAGTATGTATATGTTGATTAAGTAAAAACTATCGAAAGTAAATGTAATTTGTTTGTTTATTAAATAAATATATAAATAAAACGTGTGTATGGAATTATGGATGCCAAATCCATACCTAAGTTTTTGTGTTTCATGAAATGGGATTTACTTACGGGTTAGATTATCTATGTGAATCCCAGATGTATATGAGACTTATTTACTTGTAAGATCAATTAAAGCAACAAAATCTTTAAACATTTTTATACATCACAAGCCACTGGATGCAGAAGTGAGTTAACGGATACAATATTGTAACATTCATCTTTTTTTTTTTTTATTCGATGGAAGATTTTGTTGGGGGTTAAAGAAGACTACATTAACATATACAGGACTCTATATGTAAATGCAAGACAAACTGAATCAGTCAGTGTCTCGGTCTTGGCTAACTTGAGAAAACTCTTCCTATTAAATGGTGGTTGCTGTTGAATTAGAGGATCTTTCAACTTGTAATGATTTGAAATAATCATTCTCTGCGTTAGCCATTCTACTCTGGAACATGGTCCATTCCTTTTTGCATCTGTCCCTCACCTGCAAAAACCACAAAAAAAAAAACACATTGAAGTCGCTTGTTTCACAAGTTACGCGTCTTTCTTTGCTCACAACACAAATTCTCATAACACGTGAGAGAGCTTAAAAGAAGGTTTGTTACCCCTTGCCATGGCGCTTTTCCGTCTGTTGCCTCACCCTGCAGAAAGCAAAGGAGAATCAGAGTTTGAGCAAAGAAGTTAAAGCCAGATCAAGAAGAGGAAACAAAAATGGGACATAGAGAGAGTTTACTTGGCTGCCAAGGGAAGGGACAGTTTGATGAACAACCCATTGAGAATCAACTACTCCTATCTTCTCGTGTGCAGGCTGCATTTCGATGTAGAATTTTACGCATTTTCGTCATACAACAAATGAGATAACTAAAACCAAGTAAACATGTGCTGCAAAGTGCTTTTTGCTTACCTCAACACATCTTCTTAGTGCAAAATCAAGTCCCCAACCGTGAACCAAATCATTCTGTTTTAGCAGTTTAGGTAAGGTATATGAGTACGATTGACAAAATAGAGAGATTTAGGGAAGGGAGGGAACGGAAGATGAATGAGCAGATAGATGGTGAAGTAAGGAACCTGGATCATATGCCACACGCATCGCCAGGCGTCTCTTGAAAATACAGGAGCCATGATCTCGACGAATCTGGATTTTGTCAATGACCCCAAAGTTGTAAACCGGTTAGATACTATTAATAGAAAAAAAACAGGCTCATATAACATGAAGTAATAAAAGGTTTCTTCTACATACGCCGCACATGGAGGGAGATGAGGATCTGAGCACCATCCTGGTTTTTCTTCCGTTATCCTGATAAGATTCAAAGCCGGGACATTTGTAAAGATCAATTATTCAAAAAACTAAACATGCCCAGAAGCTTAAGGATTTTTGTCCATCATACTTGTGTACTTCAAGATCTCCTCTTCTCTTTGTCATCTGCCATGTCAACCCCTTGTTTGGTTCCAAGCCAGGTTGAGAAATCTCCAGGCCATGCTTCTTCACCAGCTTTATGTACCTAGACAAAAGATAATCAAGATTATATCATAACAGATCAAACGAAATAAAAGGAAACTTTCTTTTCAAATGAGAAAGGATTCGTGTGAAGGTTTATAAGAACTTACTCTTCTGCATTAAAATGCTCTACTCCAAGATCTTCATCCCAGATGAATATATAATCATATCGTGCTACGATATCAGGGTGCAAAAACCTCTTTGCATACCACCTAAACATATTTCCAAGTGCCAAGAGAGTCAATAAGTCATAAACATCACCAGAGTATTCTCTACCACAAAGAATTGAAAAGAGGTTGATACCATTTTGTCTGCTTCCGCACACTAATGTGTATAGCAGTTTTGGACCATTCAAACTCATCCCACTCAGTTACCCGGCCGTCATAATGAAACAGGAGAATAGTGAAGTTCCCTGAAAACTGTTGAGAAGACGATATAAATCATATATGAAGTTATTTTAAAAGACAAAACATCGAACAAAGGCAATGAACCAACCTTCTTGACACAAGCATCGATATTTGCTTTCTGATTAATACCGACCGTAAATGTCACGAGGTAATTTGGTTGGCTGGTCAAATCCTGAAGAAGCAAAAGGATTTGTTTATTTATTGTATACCAAGACTGTATCGCAGCTAAGAAAGAATGGTTTTATGATATTAAAAATTTGAATGACAATAAAAGAAATGATTTGAGCACATACCTCATGCGGTAACCCCCATAATCTGCGCAAATAGAAGTCTGATTCAGCAGCAATCATACCCGGTGGCAATCTTTCAGCACCACGAGGATTCGAAGGAACCCATATCTGCAGTAAACTTAGAAATGAAACATGAAAACATGGACGGAGCAATAGGTAACCAATACCAATAATCAAGAAAACGCAGAACGAAAAGGTTAACAAATACATACGTATCCTAAGTTTTTTGAAGTCCAAAACCAAAGGATCCTCAAACTTATCATATAATATTGGGGAGAACTTAGAGTTTAAGTCCTCCGTTCTTGAAGGTGAATCTCAGTTGCATATTAAACTATGAAAGGGTGTGTGCTTGTCTAAACAATCTAAAACATTCCCAAGTCATAAACAAAGAAGTGGAAGCATGCCTTTGATTTGTCGATTGGACCAGATGAGCTGCTATCGTTACCCTTTGATGAAGACCAAGCTTTATGACTGTCTGGAGTTGCAATTGCTGAACCCTTTTCCTCTATATACGAGAGATCCGATGAAGCAAGAAACTTTGTTGGGAGACTCACCTGGAATATGAGAACACTATGAGAACAAGGTGAAAAACAAAAAACAAAAACACTAATAAAATACAGAGCAGTAAGATAATGGTTGATTCTACAACCTTAGTGATTGACAATGATGGAAAAGATATTCCAATCAGAAAGCCGAAAGATACTCCAAAAAATGCTGCTGCAATGACCTTCATCCCATCTTTTGATTTCCTACTTATCGAACTGAAACAACAAAAACAAAAATTTGACTAAGATTCGCTGCACCTCTTGAAAAGACAAACCAAATTAGCCAGTAACCTTCAAAACTTGTGAAAACAATTTATCGAGACGAGATCCTGACCTGCGTGAAAAGATTCCCATACCCAAAACTTCTGATCGTAGTTTCACAGCAAAAAATGGCCAGCACTCACAACTCCAAAACTTTAGGCCTCCTGACAGTGAAGAAGCCAGGAACCTGCTATGGTTAACACCGCAAGATAAGGTTTTTGAAGAAGACACAAATGACCAAACATACTAGGATTCTCCTTTTTAAATGGCAAATCTGGTCATCAACCACACTTTTTTTATAGTTCTTTGTCAATAAAGTAAGTCATTATCGTAAAACCTACAAATGAATACAATATAGTGCTTCTAAACCAACCATGAAAAAAAAAAAAAGCTCCAATACCAAAATATTGACTAAATCCTAGTATGAGTATAGAAATCAATTAAAGTCAAAACACACACTTGTACTTCCATTATATCATTCCACTCCTATGATCACAATCACAAGCAAGAAATCATGTGCTTCCCCATTTGACAAAAGCAAATTCAAACGATGTAACAGGAACATTCACAGAAACATGAAATTTGCAAAGTCGTCTTTCAGAAAAGCAGAACACTTTGCTTAGATTGCAAGATAGAACAATAACAATTAAACCCGGGATTAAACAACAACAGCCATAAATGCTGAAATCAACCAAAGCAGCCATATACTAAAAGCCGTGTTTCAACATCAAGAGAATTAAAGTACCCAAAAAATGAGAATTCCCCAAAACCGATATGCTAAATTCCTCGAATAATCCAAAGTTTCTCAGCTATTAATTACGATAGAACACAAAAAGAAAACGGAATTTTCCTGGAAACGAAAATGCGAAACGAACCTGGATTGATCAAAATCAAAAGGAGATCCCGAAAACCAGTGAAGCACGAGAAAATCGCTTCTCCAAAAAAATTTCCAAAACACGCGTACGCAGAGAAATCAACGAAGGAGGTGTAAAAACCCCGTGATCGCCTTCTCGTTCAGAGACAAACAAACCCAGAGAACGCCAAAATAAACGTGAGAGAGAAAGACAAATTGCGGTTTGAAATCAAAAGGAGTGATTTTAAAACTTCTCGAAACCCTTTATATTTCTCTACAGGCTTCGTTTTCGTTCGACCTTTCCCTGAGAAAATTCAAAGCACCGTAAGTTTTGGTTTGGTGGTGACCCAAAAGAATTGTCTGTCGTTTATTTAGGTGCGGCAGAGAAACCGAAAAGGCTCAAAAGCTCAAAAGCTGATTTCAATTTTAAAATTAAAATTAAAAATGGTGAAATATAATTTCGAAAACCCAAAAAAACGACAACAGTTTTTTTGCAAAGAAGTGTCCCGATTTGATTGGCTTAACTCAAATGCGCGTAAAAGTAAGGACGACAATTAAATATTCATAAATCATAAAGAACCGACACTGCACGCATATCGGTACGTACAAACATGTAATGATGCCAATTAAAATTTGTTGTATCCTTTTTACAAATACTGTTTTTATTGTATGTCAGTATGTGTAAATGTGAATGAAAACAAATCTACGGAATTCACTTTTTCAAATTCGAATGGAAGTACCAACCAAAAAAGATGTGAATTACAAGAAAGCTTAAGCTTGTTGCGTCTTTCCGAAAATCACGCAAGGATTTATACCATTTTAGAAGATGAGATTTTGGTAAAAGAAAGCAACAACAACAAAAGAAGATATTGTTGAAAAAAATGAAAATAGATCTATTACTAACCTTAGGGAGTTGTATGATATGGTTGAACAAAAAACTTTATTTTGCATAACTTTGTATAAATAGAGTTTGGAGTGTATGACATTGCTATGTTTTGTGGGATTGAATAGTCTAATGAAGTTTGACTATGTATTGATATTTGCCAATAGGGTTGCCAAACTATGTAATAGATGTAGATTTCTTACCAAACTGAGGAGTCCACTTTCTTTTAATATGAGAGGTCCCATTTTCGTTATTTGTTTTTTTTACATTATTTATTATAATCCGAATAGTGAGAAGTTTTAGAAGATACGGTTGGTAAATAATTTTGATAAGAAATGACATACGGAGAAAATACCATGTGAAAAGATAAAATTTCAATATTGAGTTCAAAATGTAAAAGTTTAGCTGTTGGATTGTAAAATTTATTAAACTTTCAGTTGATATCTATATATGTTAGAGAAAAGAAAACAAGTTCTACAATAGTATGTCAGACTTTTCAATACTTGGAATTTCCAGGAGAAATACTTTCTATGTACAAAAAAAGAAGAAAAGACTGAAATTGTTATGTGTTCTCATTTCATATTTGTAACTTATAAGTTCAAAATATTAAAGCATTTCCATTAGAAGTTCTTACAGTGTATGCAAAGAATACTTTTTTTTTATGAAAAACGGTTTCCAGATGAAATTTTTTTAAAAACGGTTTTAGCTACATATCATAATATGAATAGTTTAATTTTTAAAAAAAATTAAAGGTATTTTTTCAATTTTATTTAAATTTAAATAATAATTATTAAAATATTGAAAAGGATTATCTGAAGGATAATAAAGCGTTTATTTATCTTGTATTAGTGAAAAGTGAATTTATGTTTTGGTGATTTATCACGTAGTCGTGGGTTTGTTGAATTCAAATGTCATTTATAGAAATAAACAATATCAGTTGTGAGTTTAAAAGTAAATTTTATTGATATTCAGCTAGATCTTAAGAAATACACATAAAATTATGCCGTCAAAATAAAAATGCCAATCAACAAAAAGAGCTGTAGAGCTATCCTTTAGGTCTCCAGCAGTCATTTGAGAAGGATGACCCAAAGATTTTACCATTTTAGAAAAATATATTTCGCCAAAAGAAAGCAACAAAAAAGATATTGTTGAAAATAGTAAATGAAACTATTGTTCTTTATAAAAAAAAAAAAACTATTGTTACTAACCTCAGAGTATGAATTGGTTGAACAAACAACTTTAGTTTGGTATAAATAGAGTTTGGAATGTATGATATTGCTATATTTTGTGGGATTTAAAAGTCTGGTAAAGTTTGAATATATATTGCTATTTGGTCATATGTTTACCAAACTATAATAAATTTAGGAGGGGTGTATAGGATTAAGAATTTTAGAATATTTTATGCTTGTTTTAAAATTCTCTGTTATTCGATAAATTATTTATAAACATCTTATCAAATCTTATGTTATTAAACATGAAATTTATATAAAACTAATTAAAATTACTTCAAATCTCATGTTATTCAATCAAGAACATAGAAAAACAAAATAAAATTTGCTATTATTAGAAATATTTTAATTAGTAGATTTAATAAAATTTTAAGAGATTTTAAATAATTTTGATAGAATTTGTTAGTTAAAAATAAATATAAAAACAAAGCTCATTACTTTAGGTAAATTATTATAAAATTTTAATATCAAATCATAACAACTTCTCCAATTTACATAAAATCATCTAAAAAGATATTAAAACTCAAATCATTCTAAATATTCTCAAATTATAGATTGAATACATCCCTTTAGATTTCGTACCAAATTAGGAAGTCCACTTTAAAGACCTCATTTTCGTTCCTTGTTTTTTTTTTTTTCTATTAGTGAATCAGAAATTTTAGAAGATGCATGTTGAAATAAGAAATGGCCTGAAAATGATGACATTTGGAGAAAACACACAACATGAAAAGATATAATTTTAGTATTGAAAAAGTTTAAATTATAGTAATATTTCGCTGTTTGATTGTAAAAATCAATAAAATTAAAATACATTAATTCAAATTGTACTAAATTTCAGCTCTACTTGATAATATTGTGAAATAGTAATATCACGATTTAAAGTATTTTACTAATCAGGAAAATATACAAAATAACGCAAATATGTAAAATCATTGGAATGTTTTTTATTACAAAAATTACAAAAGTATCTTTATGAAAAATGTGTTTCAAATATATTATTTGTAAAATTATATTTTATATTATTCATATTATATAACTAATTATAGTATACTATCTAAACTAATACAAATATTTATGTAATGATAAGATTATATCTATGATTTGAGGTTTGCGATAATTTTAGCTCTATTATAAGACTTTGTATTTGTTCTCACTTATTATTTGCACAAAGTTATATGTTCTTTCACTTGATATTGGTAAAAAGTGTTATGCTCATTTTGTATTTAAATACGAAGCAAAACATAAACAGAAAGAAATACTATTTGCACATTCAAAATTTATAAATTATGTTTCGTAAAATAAATTAAACTCTATTTCTGGTTATAATCATACTCCCTCTGTTTCATAATAAGTGTCATTTTGGAAAAATGTATCTGCATTATAACTGGATGTGCTTTGAGGTTAATACATCCAGTTATAATATAGATATATTTTCCCAAAATGACACTTATTATGAAACAGAGAGAGTATAAAAAAACAATTTTTTTCAACTCTAAATTATAAAGACTACCTATATATTGTTGTCACTAAAGGAGTTATATAGATTAATGTTGAGATTTTAAAATTATATATATAATTAAGGAAAAATCTCTCCAGTGTAGTTATCCACATCAGCAATTTATTTTTATGTTATATGAGCTTTTTTTTTTAATTTTTATAGGCTTTTAATTTTCTAACTTTTATAGGCTCTATTTTGTATATAAATACTTGACAAACGACAAAATATAAATTATCTAATTTGTATATTTAAATGAGTTTTTACATGCATATTTCTTGGATATTCATATGACATAGTTTAAAAGTTAAAAAACAAACACTTATTTTACAAGCCACATAAATGTAAAGTATCTACAAATGAAAATTTTAGAATGTTATTTGGAATAAGAAATAAAGAAAATGTGTGAGATTGATGGTTAATTTATTTTGCTAATCTCTTCAAAAATAAGCGGCATATAAAAACAATTATGGAGAGAAAAGATACAGATACATACGACAATGTATAAGATCGAATTTTTAAATAATTAACACATCACAATTTATATTTAAAAAATAAATTAACAGTAGCTCTAAATATTTTAAGGTTAATTAAAAAACTAAAACAGCATTTAAAATTTAAAATGAACAGAACAAATATTAAATAGATAAACATAATAGTAATTTAAAAATATGATTTCAATTAAGAAATAAAGAGATTTGGTGGGATTGATAGTGGATTTTTCTGTTGATCTTGCTCAAAATAAGTGACCTAAAAGAAAAGAAAATTAATTGAATAAAAATATTCAGTAAAAATATATATATATTCGATAATGTATAAGTATGAAAGTGAATTTTTAACAATTAACATATTACAATTTCTATTTAAGAAACAACTTCACAATAGATCTACATATTTTAGAATAATAAAAAACTAAAAAAATATTTAAAATTGAAAAATAAAACAAAAAATTATTAGAAAGGTAAACATAATAGTAATGTAAATATATAAAATTATAAATCTAAAAAATTGGATAAAAAATAGCTTCGCAAATTTATCTCAAAATATAAATTCAGAGTATTATTTAAATAAGAAGGAAAAAGAGTGAGTGAGACTGATGATGAATTAACTTCGTAGATATAACTAAAAATAATTTAAAAAATAAAAAACCAACTAAATAAAGATATTCAATGAACAAATTTAAATGTTTATAACATCTTATAAGTATAAGAAAATATTTCTTATTCTTTCACTTATCACAATTTTATTAGCAAAAAAAATTGTACAATAATTTCATATATTTTAAAATAATGAAAAAACAAAAATGATATTTTTTATTTCAAGAAAAAAAACAAAAGTATAAAACCATATAAAATAAAAGAATAAATAAATATAATAATAATATAACTATATAAAATTAAAAATTTGATTTACAAATAACTCTGCACAACGCACATATTGATTTTTAATTTTATTAATTTATGGAGATATTTAATCGATAAATTATTAAATAATGCAAAACTTAACCAAATTTTTGCTGGGCTTTGGGCCCATAAAACTTAGCTTATTTTGGGCTAACTATGTATTTTCTTCTTGCATACCTGCATTATATACCTTTGAAATTATGGATCAAAATCTCAAAAGACCTTTCGTACAGGAAGGCAAATCAAAACTGACCCTTGCTAATCTCTCATAACCTTCCTAATATGAATTACCTATTTTACCCTTAATAAATTATTTAATTAATTTTTTTTTTAAAAAAAATCACCCCAGCCAGTATTTTCTGGATCTCCCCGCGAATAAAGCATAACTAGTACAACTGATACATCTAGTCTAACCGGATAACTAGTATAACTAATACAACTTGTATAGGTTGTATAACTCGTATAACGTGTACAACTACTATAAATACATGTACATAAATGGTAAGACTGGTACAACTATTGCGTGCTGATGTCGTTTATTGTTCTTTTACAGAGGATAATGGATTGTTTCGTCATACATTTTGATCATGGCGATGATGTACGATAGAATATGAAAGAACTTGGTGTTTCTACTCTAGTTATGAGAGGAAAGTTAGAGGAGATAACTTATTGTCGATAAGTTAATAGGATAAGGAGTAAGATTATGGTAGATGAGGCGACGACAAAACTTGTGTTGAGTTACCTTCCATTGATAGTCGAACCTATAAAGCCTTCCTATTATCTTGAATGATAATAGTACAACTAAATTTTAGTTCAACTGGTACAACTAGTTAACTTTTAAATACATTTATGAAAATGCTTATATATATATATATATATTCTCATGTTAAATAGGCCATCAAAACATTGCAAACATATTTCCACAACTATATTAGTGAACTAAATACAAATTTCATAATTTGATTTGATGAAGATGTTATCTTTCCATAATCTACCTTATACTTCTAAGGTTACTTTCACAATCTTAACGACACAAACATGGAAAATAAACTAGCAAAGTATATGTACACATTTAATTATATAGAAATATGTGGATTATATACTTAATTTCGTAAGTACAACTAAAGAAATTTTATTTAGAGAATGGTACCACCAATTACAAGTTTTTAGGGCCAAAGTACAACTCTTTACAATTAAAGTACAACTGGTTCCTTGGTACAACTCAGTGTTAAAGATTCAATTTTTTTAAGCACGTTTTTAATGTTTTACATGATGTCGGTACACGTTTTTTTCATTTAAATTTGCTTGCGATGTTTTTAAATATTTTACATGGTAGTTGGATGTAGTAATACTAGTTGTACTTGCGATATTAAGTATATATAAGCATATTAAGTCTGAAAATACTTAAATTCATAATAAGTCTAAATACATAATAAATCTAAAAATACATAAAATCAAGAAAATAAGTTATCATTTTGGAATATAAGGGGACTGCAACACATGTGAAGGTTTTAGATTTCTCTAATGTCTTGGAGTTTTTGGAGATCTTGACTTCATACACTTTTTAATCAACCTCTTAGTTGTAAGGACTTTCACACTGGACTTGTAGACTTTTCTCTTTGCAAACAAAAAAAATCAATGAAAATCAGACTAATAACTATAATCAAATTCTTAGTTAGAAGTTAGATAATTAAAAGAGTAAAAAAGTGTAAAAAGCGAACTATTTCTCACCAAAAGCAGGCTCGGCTGCGACAACACTGTCCTCTTGAGTCTTAGCGCCAGTAACTACAACACTATCCTCTTGAGTCTCTACAACTTGAGTCTCCGTAGCTACATTACCAAAAATAACATCTGCAATTGCCTTCTCTGCAGCAATTGCCTTCTCTGCAGCAATAGCCTCCTCTTCAGCAATGTCCTTCTCTGCAAGCTCTGCAATTAGTTATACTAACCGTTCTAGTTGAACTAGTTGAACTACGCATACTAGTCGGACTATTTGAACTAGTTGAACTAATTGAACTACTCATACTAGTTTGACTAGTTGGACCTAGTTATACTAGTCATGATACCTATTAAAAAATAAAATAAAATAAAATTATAATATGGAAAGATTATTTGAGCAGCTTGACCTGGTACGAAAGGTCATTCCAGATTTTGATCCTTGAAATTATTAATTACACAGACATTTCCTCACTGCGAGTCTTGGATTCTTCTGGAAAATTTCAAATGCAGACATCTTCTCTTTCCATCATCCGCCACTATTCTTCCTTCTTCCTCCGTCGCACGGCCGAGCAAAAATATGCTCAGAGCGAAGCATATCGGTAAAGATTACTCCTCCTTAGCGCCGGTTCTCTTGCTGGACCACAATCCTTCCCTCTCGGAGTCTCAGGCCATCGGCACCGTCGCCACCGCACAAGCGAACTTTATGCGCGTCGTTGTTCAGGATGACGGTGGAGCTGTCGACGACGATGGATACGATTGTTCGTCTAAGAACGGCGTTGAGCTGATTTGCGTGGTGAGAGCTGTTCTGAAGAAGATACGGAGGATAGTTCTGGTTGGGGATAAGGTTCTCGTCGGATCTATCGATTGGTTTGATCGGAGAGGAATGATTGAGAATGTGTTCCAACGCCGCTCGGAGATTCTGGATCCAACGGTAGCGAATGTTGATCACTTGCTTGTTCTTTTCCCTCTTGGTCAACCAGATTCTTGGTTGAAGCTGAATCCATAGGGATTCCACTCACACTTGCCTTGAACAAATGCGAACTCATCTCTGAAGAGGTAAGGAAGATGAAAAAGAAGAAATTGCATAGCTCATTACTAGTTTAGATTCTCCATTTTTAGGGATTGATTAGAGACATAATATGATCTTTGTTTCCAGGAATTGGAATCTGGAAGATAAGACTGCGTAGATGGAACTATGAACCATTGTTTTGCAGTGTGAGAACAAAAGATGGACTTGATGCGATTGTTGGACCTAGTGGTGTTGGAAAGTCGAGATTAATCAACATACTGAGAAGTAACTCTGGTGGTGCCATTGAAGACGAAAATTGGTTTGAGCCTGTAAGGTTCCTGTGCTAACATTTCATTCTACAGCTAAACTTTTGTTTACCAATCATCATGACTTTCTCGACATTTTGTCATATTCAGATATTTGGTAACAACAACAAGTGGTTTGATGATCAGCGAGTTGGTGAAGTTTCAAGTGGAAGCGGTAGGGGCAAACATACAGCTCGAAGTGTATCGCTGCTGCCAGTTTCTGAAGGTGGTTACCTCGCTGATACTCCTGGCTTTAACCATCCTAGTTTGCTGAAGGTAACAAAGCAACCACTTGCTCTGTGTTTTCCCGAGGTTTATACCAATTTTGGCTTTGTGCAGAGTTGTACAATTCGGCTTGTGCCCATTTCGCATATGCACTGATTGTGACAATGCGTTTTATTTGTAAACTCTTTCCTTAGATACGGAAACTGATTGAGGAAGAAAATTGCGGATTCAAAGACTGCTTGCATATTGGGGAACCAGGATGTGTTGTGAAAGGAGACAACGGGAGGGTTTCAGACATTTCTATGTTAAGCAAGTTATCTTGCTCAAGACATGTATATGGTAAGCAACTAAAGCAAGATATATTGTGCCTCCCTTCTTCTGATTCCTTCGATGAAACAAACTCTTTACTACGAATCAATATTTAATTTTGCTTGATATGACCGTTTAAAAAAAACGTCGCCGACTTAACCCAACTCTAAAGATTTCCTTTTTTTCATATCTCAGGCTACAAATTTACTTTTTTATTTAACGGTCGAGATCACTCGATTGAACCTTACTCTGAAACTATAAAACTCTCATCTTGCTTCTCTCATACTACAATTTCCATTTTTTTTGCTCTGTCTCTACCACAATTTGTTGTTTCCGCTGCAATTTTTGTTTTTCCAGATAGTGATTCAGTTTCAGAAACCCTAAAAAAAGCAACGATGAAATTGAGCGAAGAATTCGTGAGATTTCTAGGTGAAGGTTCTTACGGCTATGTCCATCTCGTGAAATACACTCATCCGACGGCTCCTCCTTTGAAGCCGCCGTGAAAAACTCTTACGAGGACGACTTGGACAATCTTGAAAGAGAGTTAGAGATCTTACTCGACCTCAGAGGAAACCAGAGAATCATCGGATGCTTGAGGGATAATCTGGAGCAAGGCTTAAGCTTTTACGGGAACAAAGTCCACAAGTTGCTTCTCGAGTATGCACCGGAAGGCAGTTTAAGCGCTTTCATGGACAATTTCTCCGCCGATAGAAAGCTTCCCGAGTGGATGATTAAAGACTTCACGCGGATGATTCTTCAAGGCTTGGTCACGATTCACCGTCACGGCTACGTTCATTGCGATCTCAAATCGGACAACCTACTTGTGTTTCCGTCCACGAGACATTCAAATTCGCCGTACGAGGTGAAGATTTCTGATTTCGGAAACTCGTTGAGAGTTGGACAAGTTCCTGAGTTCTGGGGGATTGATTTTCCATTCGTTGGGACTCCGATCTACATGCCGCCCGAGTCTCTTCGTGACGGCATCGCCAACAAAACCCTAGATCTTTGGTCTGTGGGATGCCTTGTCCTGGAGATGTACACAGGCGTGGTTCCATGGAAAGGCGTTGGACTCGATGATCTCAAGACTCGTCTTCTTGATGGTAAAGCTCCAGAGATTCCAGAGAGTTTGCCTTGCGATGCACGGAGCTTCATCAAGACTTGTTTCTCTAGGAAACCTGATGAGAGAGGAAGCGCGTTCGAGTTGGTGTTTCATCGCTTCTTGCGTCGTGAAGAAAGAACAAACTCGTTTTTGTTGAAGCTGAAGATGAGAATCACAAGAGCTTCATCTAAGAAATCAACAAGGGATGTGGTTGTTTCAGAGAAGAAGAAGAAGAAGGCTCTGAAATTCAAGTTTTTTCCAACAAAGCCTCCACAGTTTAAGACATCTGTGAGTAAATTTTTGAAGATGAAGATTATGCCTATGAAACCCTTAACAGGTTCCAGTTTAGTATGTGTTCAGTAACTTTGCTGCTGAGTTTTGACCCTCTGCTTACTTTAGTATATGTAGATCAAAGTACAAATGTATCTCGAATTTGATGTATATTTTACGTTTTTGGTATCATCCGTGCTCATGTTATCTCAAAACAGAGTTCTTTATATCTCCTCTTAGTAATGCTCCACTTGCCACTAGATTCCACTCTTTCAGTTTCTTTACATTTTTTTGCTTTCTTTCTTATCGTTTGTCAATTTTGGTCATGTCATTTTCATACATCTTGTTAGAACATTTAATCAAAAAGACATGTATATGAACTGCTTGGGATCACAAGTAATCCGAAAAAGTGGTGATGATATATGTGCATATTGAAATCTCAATATGTTTATGAAACTGGCACCAGCTTTTAGATTCCGAACTGGTGCCAATTTCACAATGTACCAAAACCAAGATGTTTTTCTCTCCTGGATCTTCGAGTATATGTCATACTGAAATATTGAATCCAAGAACCAAAGATCCGAAATAAAAAAAGAAGCTCTGTGATGTATAAGACGGTGATCAATCAAAACAAAGTGTGAAAGAAACATCTTTTCTACCATCTCTTGAAACCTAGATGGTTCTATAACAAGCACACAGATCAAGTTCAGATAATGGCCACTTTTTACTTGATTAATCATATTTATTTTCAGTCTAAAGACAAATAAGCATGTAATTTCAACTAGTTATGATCCCAACATGCGATTTCAGTTTTATGAATTTGTACGTCTTTTCTCATCATGTACATCATAGTTGATTTAACCCGTTTTCAGAATGGATATGGGCCGGGTCGGACCTGGTTGGATAACCCGTACCGAAGTAAACCACCCAATTTCCTTTTCCAGATTTCGGTTACAATGTTCAACGGAGACGAAAACGACAAGAGAGAGAGGGTTTCGAAACCAGTCAATCGCTGTATCCGGCCATGAAAACACGGCGGCAGCTAGCCGCGGAGAATGCTCTAACAATTTCCCGACGCGGTACACCGTCTCCGACCTCAGAGACGATCCCAATTGAGCTCATCATCGAGATACTCTTTGAGATTGCCGGCGAAGCCTATAGGGAGATGTCGCTGTGTATCGAAGCACTGGGCTTCCACACTTGTCGATCCATACTTCACGGAGCTGTTCCTGACCAGGTCCTTTGCTCGCCCGCGACTCTTGTTTTCCATCGAAAGTAGACGTAGCCATGATCTGCTCTTCTTCTCGGCACCTCAGGTCCGAAATCCGGATGAGAAGTCGTGTACTGTAGCGGCCAATCATCATACGAAGTTCCCCTGTCATTATGAGTTCGAACCCCGTGGCCCTGTCCGAGGTTTGGTCTGTTTCAGGGAAAGAACGCCGGTGATATGTAACCCTAGCACGGGACAATCCTTGCCTTTACCCAAAGTGAAGACGAAACGGGTTCGAGTGAGCAGTCTTCTTGGGTTTGATCCTATTGATAAACAATTCAAAGCATTGTCCATGACCTCGCAGTTTCTGGAATTTTCTTCTAAAGAGCATCAAGTTCTGACATTAGGGGCTAAAAGGCCTTCATGGAGAATGGTCGAATGTTGCATTCCCCATTGTTTCCTTAAAACAAACGATGCGATATGCATCAATGGTCGTTTGTACTATGTAGCTGTGGTCAGTAAACTTCGAAGGCCTATGATCATTTGGTTTGATGTCAGGTCTGAGAAGTTTGGCTCTATTAACGAAGCTGAGGACATGGCACTACGGAGCAATTCAGCTCTGGTAAACTACAAAGGTAAATTAGCTGCTCTTTTAACAGGTGGGGGTGGCTCATTAGTTACTAAAGACACTACATGTCTTGAGTTGTGGGTTTTAGTAGAAGACGCTGAGAAGCATGAATGGTGCAAACATATATCCTTATTGCCTCCTTTGTGGAAGAATGTAGTTGCAGAGTGCGATTTATACTTTGTTGGAGTGATTGTTGGTACAGATGAAATCGTGTTGTCGCCCAACCATTTATTTGACGACGGCCTCTATGTTTTCTACTACAATATTGAGAAGAATACTATCAGAAGAGTTGTAATCCAAGGATTAGATGCGTTTGCATATCATAGAGTTCACATCTCTCTAGATCATGTAGAGGACGTCAAGCTTTTGCAAAATGTTTAAAGACTCTTACTGATCTTACGTTGTTGGTAGGTGTGTGATGGTTGTTCATCTTTCCTAGATTCTGTATTCTTTCTGGTTCATACACTTGGGAGGAATGGCTTCTTTCTACAGTAAGTTTTAGCCTTTTTAAGTATTATCTATATGAATAAGCCACTTTGTGTTCATCATCCAAAGGTCTGAAAGGAACTGCTTCTACATAGAAGTCGTTCATACAATATGCCAACAAAATCTACTGAACTTCTAATGAGAAAGCAGCCCCATTTAATCATTGCAAGTTAGTGTGTGTGCGAGTAAGTGAGCACATTCACAAAACCAAGTAGCAAGGAAGCATAGAAACAAGGTAATCAAAAAATTGATGATCTAAACAAAGAAATCAAAGAAGCATAGACAAGCAATGCATTAAAGAGAGTAACAAAAAAGCAAACAAGAATGCAATGCATAAAATCAACTAACTAAACAGAGAATCAAAGAAGCGGAGGCAACCAATCCACTAACACAGAGGAACCACAAAGCAAAGAATCAGGCAAATGAACCAAAAGGCAAAAAAAAAAAAAAAAACGCAAGCAATGTGCACTGAAGAGAGGAATCAAAGCACCAAACAAGTAAAGCATGCAAGAAAGTAATTAAGGAAACAAGTAAGCAAAAATGCAAAAAACAAAGCAATGAAATAAACAACAGAAGCAAAAAAAGGAAGCAAGTCAAGCATGTAAGCATGTAAGCAAAGAAGCGATGAAGGAAGGAATGAACAAAGCTAATAAGAAAATATGCATGAACGCTTATGAATGTATGCTTATGATCATTTGAAACTCAAAGAGTACTTCCCTTGAACAGTATTAATAACTCTACGAGACTTGGCTGGAAAAAGGTCAAGACCCCTCAAAAAGAGCGCTTTTTGCTCGCCATGGCGCAAAGGCGGTGTGGCCATGACTTCATCGCCATGGTCCTCTATGGCATGGCAACTTACATGAGCCGCTCGCCATCACCGCCTTTGTGCGCTATGTGCAAGCTCAAAGCAAGCGCCATGGCAATTACAATCAAAACGAAAACGTTTTGATTCAATTAGGGTATTTTGATTTTAAAATCTTAAAAACTTAAAAATAGTTAGGTGAAGAAGATTTCGGTTTTGAGGAGATGGAGTACATTGATTCTGATGATTAATCATACTCTTAGAATTTAGCGTTATTAGATTGGGTGTTTTGGTTTTGGTTTTTAGCATTATTAGCATTGATTTTTTCAATAACTATATTTGATGTTTTGGATTTGAATATTTGGATTGAGTGTTATGGTTTTGAAGTTTGATTACTCTGTGTTGGCAATGATGATGAGATAGAAGAGGTTTTTTCAATGAAGTTTGGTTTTTCCTATGTTTTAATCCTACTATCGATGTGGCGCAACATATCTGCGCTATGGCGCAAAGCGCAAGGCTCGGACCATATTGCCTTTGTGCACTGTGTGCCATTTAGGATGCATAAGAACCAAGCTATTGATAAAGAAAATCTGACAGCATAATAAGATACAAAGGACAAGTCATACGATAGGGACATAATAAAGTTGCGGAGAAAAATAGCTGTATAGTGCAAGCAATAGCATGTCTAGCCTCTCTTGTTAGTTTCTAGATTGACATATTATTAACTCTAGAAAAAAAGGTTATCATAAGAACCAGCAACAGATCTCGTGATCATTAAAGACAGACAGCTCAAAGATGAACATCTTTACAATATACACAAACTCGCATAAACAACAATCTCAACTCTGGAATTGCCGAGACGACCTGATTATCCATAGAGATCCACCATACAGGAACTGCTGAGACAACCTGATCATTTGAAGACATTAATCTAATAGGTTAAGGAATTAATACCCCAAAATATCACACACACACACCATAGGTTAAGGAATTAATCTAATACATTCTTTGTGAGTTATGTAGGAAGAAGTTCCTGAATGCATTTACCACCAACAAGATGTTTACTACAAAAAAACAATAAAATAGAAAATTACAATTGGAGAACACAGACATACTGATACATACGCTTTCACAAATAGTTAAAATAAACTACAAGAGATGGTGTTCAACAAGCACTTCTCACGACAATTTTAGGCTTGTTTCATTTCGATGGAACTGTTTCTTTTATATCCTATAGCCGTGGGTCTGTTGAATTTAGATATCATTTACAGAAATAAACAATATAAGTTGTGGGTTTAAAAGTAATTACTACGTGCGAGTCTTTATTAAAAGTTTTGTTTAATTTACTTTTAGCAAATATCTTTTAAAATATAATATTTAGTTTTTTCCTATTTTTATTTATAAAATTTTAAATCTTATTAAGTAAAATAATAATAATGACATCTATCAAATTATTCAACTTTGACATATATATATATTTGATTAGAGAAGGATTTTCATGCTAAGATCTTGATGTTTTGTTTTCTTTTCTATAGGATTTAAACAGTTTTATTTTATTTTAAAAGTTTACGTATTCAAATTTTTTTATTAAATTTTCCATTAATGTTGTGTACCTATGCATATATAATGATTCATATTGATCCGCATTTAGTTTTGTTAGAAAGCTGCAATGATCGTGTAAAGTCGTATCTTGCTTTTCCATTAGGTCTTCCACGAGTTTTAGCTTATAACTTTATTCAGTTTATTATTGAGATCTATTTTTTGCAGTCTAATATTTGATAATTTGAGTTTTGAAACTTATGGGATTGATGGTGTGGAGTCTTCGCGTTATTTTTACTATTTTTATCTTTTGTGTGCTTTCTGCATGTTTTCATCTGAACATTTTAGCTACATATATTAATTTGTGTTTGATTCATAACTCTGTCATACTTTATTATTTAAATAGAATTTTAGAATGTAATACCCATGTATTATTAATGTTAGTTCAGATATAAGTAGTAGCTATGTATAGAAATTAGACTTTACTACTTGTTAAATTTCAAGTGTAAAATTATGTAGTATATCACTTTATTATTTTTTAAATCAGAATTATACAGTTGGGTAAAGCATTCTCCTCTTGACCTGAAAATAACTCTTCTCTAAAGATCATGAGTAGCACCTGCGTTTTGGAATCTAAAGCCTTTAAAACATTACTAGAAGTAATATAAAGGCTAGTCTTACTTACGTTAGCTCCTTTGTCCATAGTCTTTTGGAGGTTAAAGACTTCTTGGGGTGTAAGTAGAGAAAGGTTATGCTTCTTCTTGTTGTGAGAGAAACTGTAAAAGTTGGTACAGCTATTGTGTATCGTCTCCTTGTCAAACTGCCATTGTCTACCAAGTAGAATGTGGCCGGCTTGCATGGGAACTACATCACATAGAACTTGATCTTGATATTTGCCGATTCATTGTATGAACATTTAGTAAAACATAATTAACTTTTAATTTTTTATATTAGTTTCTTAAATAATTAGCTTAAACCTTTATCTTTTTTTTAATAGTTAAAGTTTTTTTACCTTTATTAGTTAAAAACTTACAATTTTGCACAGACATAAGTAGTAGCTATGTATAGAAATCAGACTTTACTACTTGTTAAATTTCAAGTG